TATTTTGAACTTACACATTTGAATTTCTATGATTTGAATAATGTTCCGACAAGTAACAGCGTGGATTATTTGAATAATGTTCTAACGAGTAGGTTATGGAGGTTTAGGGACTTAGAGACAGCCATCGGTGGAAGGCCACCATCATAATAGACGTTCAAGTAGATCATCTCGGCGATGCCGAAGTCCCTCTTAATCCATAGGGTCTCCACCCAGCTGTTCTCCGGCAGGAATACGACGGGAAGAGAAATCGATACTCCTTGTGAATGCTCTGGAGTGATCTCAGGTTGGGGAAAAGCCCGTTAAATGATACAGTATCTTTATCTGCATTCGTGATGAAATACGAAACAGATACTGTGGATGATTTGATGACGATCTAAACTTTTAGTCTCACGAAATCAAAGTCTTGAATAAGAAGCAAAAATAACATAATGTCAATATTGAGCATATTCGCGGTGATGATTTCCCAGAGAATTTGAAGGATCCAATTCAATAAAAAACCGAGAATTCCTCAAGTTTTCTTATGAATCGATTGTTTCTGTGAACAAAGGCTTTCCTCCTCAACCAAAAAGAACTCGATCTAAAGGAAACCAATAAGTGCCAGATCATAATCATGATATTGGCCCGGAGCTGGGTAAATCTCGCAAACTATGGATACGGGGGCGAGAAAGAGGGCTGCTGCCACCTGTTGGTAGAGGGAGAACTCGACGATGCCCATGCCGTCGTCGATTGCATCGTTGGAAATTATGTGCTGGCCTCCGTATATTATTCGTATGAGGAAGACAGAGTGGAAGATGCCATTCTCATATGAATACGTGGAAGACGCCAAGTGCGAGCGGACACCAGAAACAGCCGTCCTCCATCCTTCTCTTCCTACATATCCCTTTCTCCGTTTCCTCTCATCAACCTTAGGATATCAGGAAAAAAATCCCGCCACCCTGATCATAAACATCAGCTGGCATGTTACTTTTTTAAGTCGAAGTCCACGGGGTTGGTGACTATACGCCTTCAAATCTTTCTTAACTAAGAATGGAAGCATCTTTAATGATAAACCGTGTGTTTTCTCGAATTCACCCGGTTTTCAGGCTCATTTTGGCAATTTCCAAATATAAGGCGCTAGATCTTGGATTTTCTCATCTGACGAGTCGAATTTGGATGCGTTAGCAGGCTCCTCCATCGTCGACGGCTTCCTGGTCTTCTTTCCTCCTCCAGATACCACCTTCGCCTCATTCTTCATCGCCGGTTTTACTCTTACTTGAATGCAAACTCAACCTCGACGGCCCATGAAAAGAGAGGTCTAGCGCCGCCCTTTTCCACGCTCCAACTCATCCTCACGTCATCTCCTCGTCATTCTCGGCTTGAAATTTTTCATGTTATTCTGGTTTTAAGATTCATTTGTTCCGACAAGGGTGGCGTCATACGAGAAGTAGCTCTCTCTCTCTCTCTCTCTCTCTCTCTCTCTCTCACACACACACACACACACACACACACACACACACACACAGAAGGGTCAAGGGACTAGAAGAACGGGAGGAGTACAAATGAGAGAGGGTAAACCTCTCCGATCTTTGGTATTTCATCATTTGGTCCTCCCTTACTTCTGCATTCATTGTGAACTTTCCCCGAGGCTGAATAGAGTGCAGGCGAGGGCGCCACAAGACAAGGAGGGAAGGTACGCCCTTACACATTGAGACATTGTACTTGGACGGAACATGTGCTCTTGAGTTAATGATATTAAATTGGCATATTATTAACATTAAAGTTAGTCATTAGTATAGTTCTTCATAGAATAATATGCAAAAATTCAATGATTTACATTCAGAAGGGCCCTAATAGATAGTAAAAGAATGTGACCACAAAATTCGTATGAAAGAAGCTCGTACCATGCAGTGCAGGCGCTACTCATCTGTGTGAACGTTGGGCCGTCCTGCCACTGGACGAGAATCTCAGCCGTTCGTCTACGGCATCGAGGAGGGGACCACCCGTTCGTCCGTCTGCGGACCCTTCTCTTCACCCCAGTTCCTGCGGTGTGCTCGTTGGGTCACGTGGACGCGTAGCAGCCACCCACGTTAGTTGACTTGTCTAGCATTGATTGCCCGAGGCGACCGCACGAGCGACGGTGGAACCTGCTATGAGACGTGTACAAAACGCACATACTCTCTCTCTCGTCCTGTCCCTGTCTCTCTCTTTCTCTCTCTCTCGCTCGTTAGATATCTGCTTTGAGGCCGAGTTGTTAGGCATAGGCCTAATGGAGTTTATCTACAGATACTACATTATCACAGTGATGTCGAAATAACTAGTCCACCATCCATCGTTCGCTATTTTATCCCGAGTACGTCAACACGGTATTTAAATGCGTGGAGATCGAGTTGGGATTCCCCATCGACTCCTCGGCTTTTAAATCCCTCCCTCCGACTCTCTCTCTCTCTCTCTCTCTCTCTCTCTCTCTCTCTCTCTCTCTCTGGATATATATGTAAATATAAACGCATATTAAATATAAGCATACTCAACCATCAGTGATTAAAGTTCAGTGCCTTCCAGGTCTTTTTCTTTCCCGCACACGCCATTTACCCAAGCCATGGAGAGAGAGAGAGAGAGAGAGGGAGGGAGCCCCAGGTTGACTTAGGGCTACGTCACGTTACAGAGATGTAGTATTCCTCCGGCATGAAAGGTGGGAAAAAGGTCGCAGAGAAGGATGAATGGGTGGCACAGAAGATGAAGAACACAATCATCGGAACTAGCAACTACTCGAGTAAGCAGATGGCTCATTGGGTCTCTAGATTTGGATGTCTCCCGACCCAGAAAGTATCTACTTTTCCCTTACAATCTATGCGACGCGTTCATCTTACACTATTTATTCATGAGGAATCTTATCCTTTGACTCAACTTGGAGTAGTATTTGCTCAGAGTCGTCTGGGGTCTTGGCGTTTACTAGTTATAGCAAACGACAATATAAATAGACATTTATATATATATACGTAGCGAGAGAGAGAGAGAGGATTTTTGCAAACGGGGAGTCATGCCGTGTAGTCCCCCGGGTTTTCGACTGTGATACGAACTAGAATACGGTCAAACTCATGCTAAGTCAATGGATCAACACCCGATAAAAGTGCCATGTTTGGCCGGTCAACAATTGACCAAGTGAAAGACGAGAAGGATGCTGTGTAGAATACGTCCGGGTGAGCACAAGCCCGTGCTATTTATTTCATACTTGAAATTTCACGCAATGGAAGCAAGAGAATTCTTCATGAGTCCCGGGGGGTGGGGCTTATTTGTCAACGGTAGGTCGCCGTTAGTTTCGGCCGTGGTCAACTCGAGTCGGCTTGAACGGCCCGAGGAAATTTCCCATTAATCCTCTTATTCCCACTCTTTGCAAAAATGTTTCAAACTATAGTAAGAGTGGGAACGTTTCTCATGTATCCTAATTTTCGTAGATCAGAAGGTGACGACCAATTCCAAAACTAGACAGGGTATACTCACGTGAATCGACGTGTCAAAGTGGACATCTCAGCATTCATGGGAACTGCTTAGCGTGCCTGGTTCCGAGGGCACACAGGAACGGAACCTCGAAGAAGCCGGAGAGAGAGAGGCAGACACAGAAGTGCCAGCTGAACGGAAAGTGTCTGAAAGGTACGCGGCCGCCGCCCTCCGTTTCTCTCTCTCTCTCTCTGACGGAAGGAACAACGTCGTTACTCGGGCTTTCATAGACGTTACGGCGACGGGAAATTTGTATCCAAAGAACATCCAGAGCCCGTGACGACATGAGCAAAGACGTCTCCTTTTTTTTATCCTCCACTGTGGTGGTCGCCCGCTCTTGTCACATTTCTTTGTCCTGAAGTGGATTTAATGGATGGTGAGATCCGCTCCTCCTTCCCACCTGTCGATGGAGAGAGAGAGAGGTAGGTAGGTGAGGGTTGAGAGAGGAAGAAGGGGGTGACCCTTGAGAAAGATAGAGGTGAGGGAAAGAGAAAGCAGAAGTACAGAGGGTTGGGCGGTAGGGAGGGGAGAGGAGAGGGAGAGGACAGGAGGTGGTGAGAAGGAAGGGATCCAGGGAGAAGTGATCGGGGGCGAAAGTGAGGGTGATAGTCATGCCGATTCGTTCCTTGTTCAGACGCTTGGTGTTCGAGTTATTTGCCGCCCGTTGATTCCAGGGGGTTGACGAGGAGAGAGAAAGCCGGGTCTCCGAGGGGGGCTTCTCCGAGGGGTTCCCCGGTGGTTCGTGGGCGCGGGCTCAGAGCTCGAAAGGTGAGGCCTTGGAGCTCCTTTTCTGAGATTATTCCTGCCTTTTGTTCGAATTCGACTGGGTTCTCTTCGGAAATCTGGGAGCTGTTGTCGCTTCATCTGGGTTCTCCGCGGTCGATTTCCGAGAAGCTCTGCTGAACGGTGCTGCTTTCTTTCGAAGCGGGGTTTTTTTTACCATTTTGGGTAACTCTGCGGAGTCTAACTTCCGGGTAGCTATCCTTTCCTCGCCCCCGCTTCTTCGGCATTCCTATCAGGTTTTTCCTTCGATCCACGGAGAAGGGCCACTGCTTATTGGTCGGGGTTCTTCTCCCCGGACTTGTGAAATATTACCCTTAATTTCCGTGATTTCTTGGAGCGAGAACGCATCTCTGCAAGCCTTTTGTGAACGATACTCTTCGGGGTTCTATTGAAAATATCGAGATTTCTGCATAGCTGCGGAAGATTGCGGACCTAGGGCAGGGGTTTTCGGAAGAACAGCCCTTCCCCCCTTCCCGTCAGTTCATATCGCTCAGGTGAAACCATGAAGATAATTCAATGGTTGGCCTGGGTAGGGTTCGCCGGAATCTGAACCTTTGCGTGGTCAAAATTATTGTTTTCAGATTCCAACGCCAGCGCATGATGTTTTCTCCTCTGGGTTTCAGTTCTCAGGAGCGGTCGCCTCCTCGCTGACTGATGGTTCTCTGAGGCTGTGATTTGAGGAATGGGTTCCCAGTGAGTTCCCGCCGGTGTCGTCCTCCTCCTCGTGATTCCAGCCGGCTCCCATGTCGTTCCGGAGCATCCTCTCCGATGTGAGGGACAGCATCGGCAGCTTCTCCAGGAGACGCGGGATCGAGGTGAGAATCTCCGGCCTCTCCGGTCATCACCGGGGAAAATCGCAGGTCTCCGCCGATGAGTTTCCCGGCGGCCTCGCCGTGACCCAGCAGAGCCGCTGGGCCTGTCTGCCCCCGGAGCTGCTGCGGGACGTGATCAAGAGGTTGGAAGAGAGCGAGAGTTCCTGGCCGTCTCGCAAGCACGTCGTCGCCTGCGCCGCAGTCTGCACAGCGTGGAGGGAGATGTGCAAGGAGATCGTCAGCGGGCCGGAGTTCTGCGGGAAGCTTACCTTCCCCGTCTCCCTGAAGCAGGTTTCCCTCCGCCCGTGTCTTATCTTTGCTCGTGGTTGAAACGATGGAAGTCAACGGCGGGGTTCTCAGCTCATCGACGATCTCTCCCTCATCTTTGCAGCCGGGTCCTCGCGACGGAACCATCCAGTGCTTCATCAAGAGGGACAGGTCAAAGTCGAGATACCACCTCTTCCTGTGCCTCAGCCCTGGTAAGCGAAGTCCTCTTATTCCTGGTAAACAATTGCTTTTGAGCCGTCGCGCAGTCGAATCAAAAGTCAACTGAGACACTCACACGCTCCTCCTTGTCGAACTGCGCAGCCTTGCTCGCTGAGAACGGGAAGTTCCTCCTCTCCGCCAAGAGGTCGTCAGGAGCTTCCCGCACGGAGTATATCATCTCCATGGACGCCGACAATATATCGAGATCCAGTAGTACCTACATTGGGAAGTTGAGGTGGGTGAAAATATCCATCATCTCCAGTGGTGGCGATTGTTTCTGGGGTTGACTTAGCCGGCAATCTCTCTCCCGCAGGTCGAATTTTCTGGGTACCAAGTTCGTCATCTACAACACGCAGCCGCCGTACAACGGCTCCGCCCTTCCGCCGCCTGGTCGCTCCAGTCGCCGGTTCTACTCCAAGGTCTCCCCCAAGGTGCCCACCGGCAACTACGGTATAGCTCAGGTGGCGTACGAGCTGAATGTCCTGGGGAAGCGCGGGCCGCGGCGGATGCGCTGCACCATGCACTCTATCCCGACGACCGCCCTTGACGTGGGCGGCAAGGTCCCCGGGCAGCCGGAGAAGCTCCTTAGCCGCTCCTTGGAGGACTCCTTCCGCAGCATGTCCTTCTCCAAGTACTCAGCCGTGGACCGCTCGGCGGACTTCGGCAGCGCGCGGTTCTCCGACAGCGTCGGTGGCGCGGCGGAGGACGGCGGCGAAGAGGGGAAGGCGGTGCCGCTGGTGCTCCGCAACAAGGCCCCGAGGTGGCACGAGCAGCTTCAGTGCTGGTGCCTGAACTTCCGGGGGCGTGTCACCGTCGCGTCCGTGAAGAACTTCCAGCTCATTGCCGACGCGCAGCCGCAGGCCGCCGGCGCGCCGACGCCGTCGCAGCCGGCCCCGTCGGAGCACGACAAGATCATCCTTCAGTTCGGCAAGGTCGGGAAGGACACCTTCACCATGGATTACAGGTACCCGCTGTCGGCGTTCCAGGCGTTCGCCATCTGTCTGAGCAGCTTTGACACCAAGCTGGCCTGTGAATAGAAGACGGTAAGGAAAGAAGAGAATACGGCAGGGAGGGGAAGTTCTCTGGTTGTTCGGTGTTCTTCCGGTTGACTGTTCGCGTGTGTCGGCTGTAATCTGTAACTGTGGTGCGGCATCTCTCCCTCCGCCATGATCTTTCTCTCGCTCGCCTTTCCTCCCCTCCCTCGGCCCTTCCCCTTGCCTTCCCAACATTCTTTCTCTGGTGTCGTCTTGGCATTAAAAGTGGAATCTTGGCCCTCCCTTGCTTCCAACCCTCTCTATCTTCTGAGACCCAAAGCTCGTCTTGGCTGGTTCTTTGCCGTTTCCATCGTGAACGACCAGAAGGCAGTTTACGCACGGATTGCAGGCACAGAGAGAGAGAGAGAGAGAGAGAGAGAGAGAGAGAGATGTCAAATTCAAGCTCGTTATAGATGGCGGGTATGCTTCATTTCAAGTGCAGATCATCAATAAAGTAGGCTGAATCTCATCAATCACAAGTACCAGCCATTTCATGGATCAAACGCTGTTCCCCAGAGACTTCTGATTCAGACTCGGCTAATAGAAGAATGCGAGATTTATGAGATACAAATCAAGAATCAAGATCATTAAAATGACATCACATAAGACAATTTATTGAGAAATAATTATACATGTTAAAAAACTGTATACCCTTACGTATAGATATGCCGCAGCTTCTTCACTCCATTTACCGCTCGCAACAGAAGCAGAAAGGCAATGTTGGCGGCGAGGGGGCTGCGGAAGGCGAACATCCCTGCCTCTCTAATCCAGGACCCGTCGCCCGGCAGCCTGCAACCAACCCGGCTCGCTCTACATGTGAGAAGAACCCTCGTTCTTCCCTGATCCTGGTCTGTCTCCCCGCTTCTTGGTCTCTTAGTCTTCATATCCGCTGTCCTCGCCTCGCCCTCTCCCTTTAGGTTAATGGCAACGGGTGCGGTACTTCTTGCTCCGTCTATGTGGCGTCTGGATGCCGTGTTTACAGATTCGAGGTGCGTGTTCGTCTCTCTGGCAGCTACGATAACCCTCGCTTCTCGCTTTACCCCCCTTCGCCTCACCTGGTTCCGCTGATAGTCTACTTGGAGCACCGAGCACAAGAAGATGGAGCATAACTACTACAGACTGCGGGGTAAAATGGTTCTTGAAGACGATCAAGAACCATTTTACCTCGAAATTATCTGATTGATTTGAATGGGTCAACTCATTAGAATGGAATGGAGATCCGAGAAAAACTAGAAAGTCTTCTGGAACGACGGATTGATCGCGAGGACAGTTGAAATCGCCAATGAGCGGCGATTTATATTCCATATCAACACCGGGCATTCTCCCTAGTCATTGAATTACTGTTCTTCGATATGCTGGCCCATGATTAAAGAGTTTTTGTTGCAGATATCAACTGAGGGCGCTTGTCCTGCTGAAGGAAAGGATAGCCTCATAGTTCCTGTCCAAACCCAGGCATGAATTTTTATCCCGCGTGATTAACCATGAGTTTTATGAGTTCCCTTTCTTTCTGTTTATTTACCAATCTTGCCGTGTTATTTGAAGATCATGCAATCACATGCGGTGGATCGTTGCCCACATCATTCGGAAATTCAGAGTATAGCACTGGCTGAGGGAGACAGTAAGCACCTTTACTGTAATTCAGACTTTGTATATATCTTTCGAGCCTATTGAGGTTATGGCCTAACACTTCTGCAATGATTATGTAATAAACGCTCCGATCAGGCTTCATCATACTTGGCGATGTAGGTAACGTTTTCAAAATTATTTATTCTGAATTAAATCAGTGATTCAATCCAGGCTCCATACATTTGATGTTGATATCTTGTGCTTGTAGTTGGTTCTTTGGAATTCAGGGCCAAACGATGAAGTTCAAACATACTAATTATGCCCTTCGAGAAATATTTCCTGAAAATGCTTCTAAAAGTTCTTGGCTACCTGAAGTTGTGAATAGTTAGATTAGATGTGATACACAACTTGGCCGGTTAGTACGGATGAGTCGAAAGCCGATCTTAAAGATTACAGTCATTGCCATTTAAATCCATAATTTGGAATTTCGTGATTTTATGTTGGTTTTTGATATGCGCTCATCTTTATTTTCAGTGTGTTATCACTGTAGTGATGAGAAACAAACTCCTTTTTGTGGTATCATGAATCTATGCAGGTGATTCATGTTTGATGTTGGGCACAGTCGATTGTTATGGTCAACTCATTGTATCAGGATTAGATGCGACCGATGCAGGTCCTTTTTTCCATTTTATTTCTTAAGGCTGTTTTCGTATTCATTCCCAGTCTCTTGGTGGAGCGATATTTTTTGTTATTGCCAGATATTCTTAGTATTCTTGATCCAACTACCATATTTTAATTGTATATGGTTCTGAATTTTCAGACATCAATAGACGTTCATACTCGATATCGCCTCGAGGTTATGGTGTAGGGGAGGGTAGTTGGGCAGGCGTCTGTTTCAGTCCCAGTAACTCATCCACGGTACTGTCTCCATTTCCCCATCAGGACCTTGGATATGTATGCTGCATTTGGTGGCCAAGAACATGTGATTCAGATGTGAAATCTTTGTCTCCTCTAATGTCTGAACCAGACTTTGACTATGCGGCATATGCTCTGACTGATCTGCTGCTTTTTTTTTCATTTTTTTTTGTCTTTAATGACCCGGATAAGCTGTTAAATGACAATTTCTTGGAGTCTCTGGACAGGGATTGACAGATAGGACGAAGTAGAAGTAGTTTCTCAGTGCTAATAATCAAATAATAATTGGACATAATCGGTTGACAGATTAAAGTTTGTAAAGAATAATAATCGATTTTTTTTCTTGTTATTCTGCCCAATGAAGTGAGTTTCCCTTCTGTGAGTTTGACTTTGCAGCTGCTGACGTCCTGAGATTCCCAAGTTTTCTTTCTCACTTCATTTCTCCCTCGATGTTTCCTCAGTTGACGAGCAGAGCTGACTTTAAGCTCGCTGGTCTTTGAATGCACCGTGGGACTTGATTTGACTCTTGCTGTTGACTCTTTTCAGGTTGCCATCGTCCATAGTTTCTGCAAAAGTATTGACATTTATGATCAGGACATCCATCTTCAAAGTTTTCAGACGTGAGTAGCTGAAATGCCACCTGGCTCGGATTTTCCTTGTAATGGTCTCTGAAACGTTTTTGATTCTCCTTGCATCTGTGGCTTCAGGCTATGGTATCCAAATTCTTCAACTTTCTTACAAGGATCTCTGCTGGGGTGTGGCAGCTCTGTGCTCGCCGTTGCCGAGGGTAGCCAGGCATGGCCGTTCCGCTGTATTATTGACAACTGGCGTCATTTTTTGATGTTCGGACATCATGTTGTCCCTGATTTTCCTTCTGGGTTCGATCCAGCTGACGATATGGGACCTGAGAACCGGTGGTGGCTGTGTGCAAAGGGTCTGCGGGTCTGTCGGAGATCTCATTTATGCCATCAGCTGTTCTCCGTCTGGACATGTTGCTGTTGGTGGGTCTGATCGTTGCTTAACCATCTATGATCCCCGCAGGTTGAGTCGATCATCCACGCATAAGTTCTGTTAATTTTTTCGTCGGATGTTGCCCTCAATCTGTTGTTGGACTATGGAATCCCTATTCGGAACACAAAGATTTTGATTTTTTAATTTTTTTTTTCTAAAACCTCTGAGAAGTAGTCCCTCTTTGTTGTGTTCTAACTCCAGAAACTGTTCTAATGAACTTGGTGCCTGCATTCTTGAATGCAGGTGGTCAGCCCTGGCAAGATGGGCGAGCTGCTCAAAATATGAGGTTGCTCTCTTTTTTTTTGGGTCTTGTGTGTGAGGTTTCATTCGGAGACAGATCTTGGTGTCTATGCAATGAACAGTAACATCTCTCTCTCTCTCTCTCTCTTCTCTTCTCTTTCTCCACTTCTTGCAGATAACAGGTCTCTCATTCTCCTCACTCAACTCGGATTATATGTACGTGCAGGGCGTTGACTATGAGGTGATCATACTCAACTTCTGGTAACTGGGTTTATTTCTTGCTGAGATCAGATATATTATTACCTCAGTATAGGCGTGCTTGCCCTACGACTAGGTTTTTTTAAAAAAGATGGTGGGCATTAATTGACATGAACCCTCGCGAATGCTTGAATTTTGGCAGGTTTTCTGTGGTCAATGGAGAGAGAACAAGAAAGTGTTTTCCTTCAGAGGGGACTCGAACTGGCTGGGGTTCAGTAAGGTTATGTTCTATCCCCGGAGATCTGGTCAACCCCGAATTTTTCGCGGCCACGGGCTTAGTCAAAGGTGCACTCTTTCTTTGGCGGCAGGATTCGAAACGTGACGTCTTGGCTGGTTGGTGCGACTCTGGAAGCATCTTCGTGGCTGACGCCGTGGCGGCGAAGCAGCTGGAAATCTGGTGAAGGCTTGCTGCCGCTTCGATCTTCCGCCACGTTTCGCGTTGCCCGCTCGGGTCTTCTGCCATTCTTTTCCGCCCGAGGAAAGGAGTTGTTTTTTGGGTTGACCCCGGCTGAGGATCAGATGGGTGTCTCCGAATGTTTGGCAGCGGCGTTGACATCCCATCGTTCGCTCACCTTCTTTACTTTCTTCGGTGTGGACGTGGGGAAAATAGTCGCGAACTGGGCCACGGTTTTTTTGATGTGTGGCGGTGGACAGATGGATGGACAAGCGGAGACGTACACGAACTGCAGATGTAGCTGGTTGACCTTCGGCCTTTGGACACGCGTGGGGCAGCGAGGGGGGGCTGGGGGGGCCGAAAAAGGAAAGGTCAACCAACGTTGAGTTTGAACATTATTTCTCAGAGGTGAAGGGCACGGAAATGTTATCTTGTTTGACCGTCGACATTGCGGCCAGCTGGTTTCCGTCTGTTCTCCCGTCGTCGAAGCCTCAAATTTTTCTAGCCGTGCCACTGGTTCTCTCTCTCTCCCCTTTTCTCGCTCCTATTTATGTAGATTGAATATCCTGTGCTTTTCTTAATGCGTTTTCCAGCTGGTGCCTGCCTGATGGTGCTGATCCAGTTGCGCGTGGACGGCCCGATCGTCTTCTGGAACCTCCCTCGGCCCTGAGCTCGCACAGGTGCCAGCCCAACACTCGGATCGCATCTGCGTCCAACTCAACGGGCCCGCCGCTAACAGTCAGTCGGGCCCGCCCCGCCCGGCGACCAGCCAAACGGCGGCGCTCGATCAGTGCCCGGATATAGGCCAGGAATTCCCTCCCCGTCTCTGCCTTCTCTTTAGGGAACGAAACAGGGTCATCGTCCTACACTTTCCTGTTCCCTTCTTCCTCTTCTTCTTCCTGCGATATGACAATGCCTCCGGCCGCGGACTACCACTACCAGGGCCCCTCATTGCCGATCGCCTCTCTGGGACGGTCCCTGCTCAGCATCGGGCGTGAGCAGATGCATTCCATAGACGCCCACCACGGCGGCGCGTGCCAGCAGGAGCACGAACCGGACTCCTTCCAGAAGCACGTCGCCGACCTCTTCTACAACCTCGGCGTCCCCTGCGCCGCCTCGCCGGCTAGCGGCGGCGGGAGGAAGGAGCAGCTGCTGTGCCTCAGCTGGACCCGGAGGCTCCTGGAGGCCTTCCTCGCCTGCCAGAAAGAGTTCCGGGCCGTCGTCCTCGATAGCCGTGGTGCGGCGGCGATCTCCGGGTCCCCCGTCGAGCGCCTGCTCGCAGAGTTCTCGGAGCGCAGCGTCAAGGCCCTCGACGTCTGCAACGCCGTCCGCGACGGCATTGAGCGTCTGCGGCGGTGGCGCAAGCTCCTCGAGATCGTCCTCGTGGCGCTCGAGCCGAGCCGGCGGGGCGTGGGGCTGGGCCAGCTGCGCCGTGCCCAGAAGGCCCTCGCCGAGCTTGCCGCCGCCATGCTAGACGAGAAGGAGACCTCGCCCCTTCTGGGGCTACGCCACCGCTCCTTCGTCCGGCACGGCGGCGCCGGGAAGGACCATCACCGCCCCGCGGCCAGCCACGCGCGGTCCCACTCCTGGAGCGTCTCCCCGTCGTGGTCCGCAGCCCGGCAGCTCACCGCCATCGGCAACGGCCTCACCGTCCCCCGCGGGAGCGACGCCATCGGCGGCGGCGGCGGCCTCGCCGCCGCCCTCTACGCCATGAACTCCCTGCTCCTCCTCGTGGCGTGGGCCCTCGTCGCGGCGGTGCCCTGCCAGGACCGCGGCGGCGTACACGGCCACTTCTCCTTCCCCCGCAGCTTCCCGTGGGCGGCGCCGGCGACGCTGCTCCACGAGAGGATTATGGCGGAGTCGAAGAAGCGGGAGCGCCAGACTTCCGGCGGCCTGCTGAGGGAGATCCAGCAGATGGAGAAGTGCTCGCTGCGCCTGGCGGAGCTGACGGATCCGAGCCAACACCCTCTGGCGGAGGAGAAGGAGGAGGAGCTGAAGCAGCTGGTGGCGGAGCTGTCGCAGGTCTGCGATTCCCTGAGAGAGGGGCTTGACCCCCTGGAACGCTTGGTGAGGGAGGCGTTCCACGGGATCGTCCGTAGCAGGGAGGAGAGCCTGGACTGCCTGGGGCAAGCTGGTGCCTGAGGAAGACGGGGAGCTTCCTCAACCTGCTTGTCTCTCTCTCTCACTTGTACATCAGATCTTACTTTGCTTCTCCCTCTGATCTTGGATTCCTCTTTGTTTTTTCATTCCCGTCATTCATCTGATCAGAAGAGCATCATTTCGCCATTCAAGAGCATTTTTTTTCCCATGTTGTCAACACCAACACAAGGGGCTGAACCCAAGATCTGGGTCAACTCAGATAAACCTTCAAAAACATCTGTCTCCGGGTCAACCAAGATCTGGGCCAACTCAGGTAAACATTCAAAAACATTTGTATCCGGGTCAACCCAAGATCAAACCTGGTTTTTTAATCGAGATGAAGAAAAAAAAGTCAAGAGAAAATTACAGTTCCGATCCTCGATCTGAAATATCAAGGTCACATGCAGGGCACTTGCTGTTGTTATCCGTGGAGTATATATACCAGTAGAACATGAGAGTGGACTTCAGTTTATTACCAGCACAGCTCATAATTCCTATAACCTAACCATGCCATATAAATGATGATGCACCCTGTTGGGATCATAATCTGACTACCTACCATCATATGATTTACAGTTAAGGGATGGCCTCTGGGGGAGGAGACCAGCTGGAGACATAAGAATTACTTACAGTGCCATGGAGATGAGCAGTCGAGGACCGTGATGAAAATCATCTCCAGCCGCACCAAAACGGGCGCCGAGAGTTGTCCGCCCACTGCAATTAGGTCAAAGAAAGAGATCTGGGCCGGTGCTTCCAAGAGGGAGGGAGGGCGTGGGCGGGGTCAGCGGAACAGGTCGGGGAAAGACCACATTATGAATCTGGCGAAGACGTCGGTCTCGAGGAACTCGATGTGCGCTGCTCGGCCGATGATGGTGTTCAAGTTCCTACCCTGTGAAGATGAGTCAAAGTTGATGTCACAGCGCATGAACGTGCGCCTTTCGGAAGAGGGAGTCCTGATCTGATCCAAGCAGTTATTGAGCATTTCGAGAAAGACCAACGCCTTCTTCGAGTTGTCCCACGAGGACGCCTGGCACAGCTCGATTCTTGCTGAATGGTAGGGAACATAACCATCCTGTACAAAGAGGTCAATGCTGCGTCACTAAATTGTCATAATCTTCGATTTCATAAGGATGACGCTATGTCAAATCTGCAGCCGAGAGAGACAAGTAGATTAAGTGGGTAAAAGGGCAATTAAACAAGGGAAAATTCGAATAATGGAATAGAAATAAGTGAAGTGCCGGCACAAAACATCATAAATATTAAATGGGTGTCCCTTATTTAAGAGACATAAATATTAAAAAATAGATAAATGAAAATTTATATATGCATCCGGTCGTGGCAAACCAAATGATGTATACCTGTGGTGATGACAGCAGTACTATGTTGTCGAAGTTCTGCAGCGTCTTCCTCTGAAAATCACAAGGAGACAGAAATTCAGACATTAGAGAAGTCGCCAAGGGATTATCTCATTGAGCATCAGTGTGGTCATCCTCAAGGCAAAACATTCCCTAAATATAATGATCCAAACCCTTTTACTATTTACAGGCTGTTCCAAGAAATCTTACCGTATCAGAAACACCGATTAGAAGCATAATGATCGAATGGTAACGCATTTGAATGCAAAAAAATTATATGGGTTTTGTACCTTGCAGAGCTTGTAAAAGAAAGTGTTCTGGAGGTCTGGATCATCGGTGAAAGTGAGTTGATGGATGCACTGGGCTCCCTTTAATTTCTTCAGAAGCCACAGACCAGAGTTGAATAAAGAGTTTGAACTATACCAATACCCCAAGTGTGGTCCAGACAGGGACATGTAAGTGTGAAGGTGCCCCAGAAAAGGTTCCATCGCGCTCTCTGAGATGCAGGACGTTCTTTTCAGGATGAGATATGAAATTAATAAGAAGGTAGGATCGTCATGTAATTACCGGTTAAGGCACTTCTTATGATAATGTTTCCAATCGAATGACCAACAAAGCTTAGTTTGATCCCTTTACAACCTCCCGTTCTGGAATATTTATCAATTTTCTTTCTAATGAAAGCGTTGACTTCTTCAGACAACCTGCTGCCCATTTCTCTGAAGTCTCCAGAAGTTTTCTCCTCATTTGCCTCTGACATGAGGCATTCAGCTCCAGGATCGATTAAAAGCCACTGATTGCGAACCAATCTCAAATCTAGATGATGCCCCTATAAAAAGGAAGCAAATGATAAGATATGAAAAGCAGTAGTCAGCATTGCATTACACTGCAGAAATGAAACAGTTTACCTTCTCAGATGAATCTCATGTAAGAACAAGAATTGTTCAGCTCAATCAATTTACTGATCGCAAATCAGCAGCAACAAAAGTTCTTAAGGGAAGTGGGTAGTGGAAAAAAGGAAGTATATAATGAAGGTGGAAATGTACAACCAAGACATTAGCAAAGCTCGCATTAGGATAATAAATAAATAAGTTCGGTATGATAATCCTATGCTAGGAAAACAAATACCCTGTGGGTTTGCAAACATGGGCCTTCGCTCATGGCCAATTGGTTTTGGGTTGGACGGGCCAATAATCTAACAATATCCAAGGGACCTTGCCACTTATGGGCATAGGACCTTGCCCACTGTCAAGGGAAAAGTATTTTCAAAAGATAAATTTTGTGGAATTTCTTTTATGGGTAAAATATGAGGATAGTCTATTTGTTTCTATTCAAAACGTAGTTTCTAAGAAATCTAACTTCCACACGATCCCGTAATATAATAAAACGTGCATATTTATCCTGTAACACTATTTTATCGTAAACATTTAAGTTCTCCAATAATGCAAAGTAAACACTCTATTTCTTGGAAGGCAGTGAACACCACTTCAATTCAGTGAAGTACGAGAAAATTTTCAAAGATATGTGGCGACAACATTTCCAAGTAGGTCGTGCAAAAGAACCAGCACTGGTTCACTTGGCCCGGACCTCAACAAAGAAACCCACTCCAGTTTTCTAGTTGAGAACACAATCTGCCTTCTGGAGAATATCCAATATTAATGGCCACCCTATTTGAAACAAATTCGATCACTATATAAAAAAGTGAGGAATAACTTAGAGCCTAAATATTCCCAAACTACTTGTCATAAAGATCATCATCCAACATGTTTTTCTTTTCATAGATGTATCCTGGACCCCACCATCATGTTACCAATATATTGTACTCCAGACACCAAATATTGATACCTCCAGCCATCAGCGTCCAAGTTGTATCAACAACACAAAGATCTACAAATATGTGATTGACTCGGATTAAATTAATTAACAAATGAAATTTTCTTAGATGATCACATACACGTTGGCATTTATCAGAGTCTTTCTACATGATGAAGTAGACTTTAGTGTTGAGCCTTTCCATCCGTCCACTCTTCCGGTTCTTAACTCAATATCCATATTATTAGATATTTTCTTCAAGGATTACACTTAGAGGGTCGCATTCGGACATTTTTCTATGATCTATTCATGGCGACAACTCAGAGCATCTTGTACGATTCCAGTTCTTCCATCAAGATTTTTCTGAATCAAATGGCCCACTGTGAGCTCCTACTCCAATCCTTAATGTACATGACACTTGGTCGCCAGGTGACTGTCTGAAAGCAATGCATCTAAAAATATCACTCATCTTCCATTGTCAACTTGGAACATAGCTGAGTTCTTCATGTATTAAAAAGGCTATTCCACAAGAATCTGCCACAAATTTTTGTAAAGAATGGATGATAAACGGCTATGGCAGAGGTAAATGAATAGGACAGCCATTATACATCACTCACTTGGACCATCAAACCAAACTGCATGAATTTTCTGTCAAGAATGGCAGATAAGAGGCGATCTCCCAATCAGCTGGAGCATATTTTTACAGTAACCATTATCCACTATTACAAGAGGCAACTTCAAATACAAGTGAGGAGGGCCATCTTCTGGTTCAACTAAGATAAACTTGCTCAGTATCATCAACTTCCCTTGTATTGTTGTACTAGCTTCTCTCTCTGTCTCACACAGTTCACTGATAGAATGCAAGGACACTACAACTTGAGGGGTGCGTTGAACACTTAATCAAGGAGAGAGTATACACAATTGCATCCCTGGAAATAGTGTTCTCAATAGAACGACTCAGAAATAGTATAGGCAACCGAACCTGGTGTTATTACTTCCATTATTACTAGTCAGAAAAGCATCTTTGTGTGTCGATTTGTTGACAGCTTTGATGCCAATGATGCATTATTTCCACTGGTAATTGATCAGGTGGCCATAAGCCTCATGCCACAAACATGGAGTCAATCTAGACTTTTTAACGGATTCAACACAGCAAAGAACATGCAACAGAAACACATGAATCTAATTGTACAAGTTCAACATGACTATGATACTGGACAACAGTTACAGAAAGTTCAGAAGCACAGATGGGAGCAAAAGTTTGAAAGATCACTAGATGAATATGTGAAGCTGTAAGCATATATGTAATAAAATACAAACTTGGAAAAGCTGTGATTAATGACTGTAGACATGAAACCACCACAGGATAGAATGGTCCACAGTAGACAAATTCCTCAAACATCATTTCTCTATCTTCTTCAATAATTGAACAATTATATAGTCAGTAGGAAAAATAAGTACTTCGGGTCATTTAGAATTCAAACAAGAGCGAGTATGGTTTTTCCATCCTGAAAGAATATTGAAATTTGAATTTGTGACATTTTAAGACGAATAATGACACAGTAAAATGCAATGAGCTTCGAAAAAAAGATTAAATGGACGTACCTGGAATCCGTGCACAAAAACTACGATTCTTAATGTACGACTATTTCTTTGAGCCCCACCAACAAACAGTTTCATCAAGGCTTTGTCTCCAGTTCCCGTTGCAGATGTAGCCTTTTTCTCAAGAGAGCCTGAGAATGAGGCACGACCAGAAGCATGCATACGCAAATCCATAACATGCCGTTCAACAAGAATAATAGGAACACGTGACGGATCACCAAAAATATACATGTCTTGAATTGCGCAGTTGTTAATCTGCAGAGAACCAATTTCTTTCTGATAACTATTTTCAAGACTAAAAACAGACCGTGGCAGAAAACATTTCTCTCAGAAATGACTCACCTTCATTTGTGAAATACTCTTCCGATGAAGCTCAGCGCGAGTGATTGCTGTTTGTGCTGGCTACATCACAAAAAAACAAAGGAGGAAATATTGGAAACATAGCCATAATCACAATGCTTCGCAAAATAATGCACATTAGTAAACTGCATTTTTTGTAAAATATTCAGTTTATTCGTAAAGATTGCGTGTGAGCAGAAAATTACATCATCACTCAATTTTCGTGGCATCGAAACTTTTCCCAACACACTCTGATGAGAGGATTCATCAGCTCCACTCCTCAAATATCGATGTGGAACTTCCATAATTGAGTGAATCATCCATATTGACCATTCTGCTTTTCTATCATCACTCCACACTTCACGAAGATGCTCCAAAATTTTGGTTCTGTTGTTCCTGGAACATAAAATGCGTAAATTTTTATACAATCCAGTAAGTTGTATGGACAATAGATTAAAGATGTACTATGATTACTCAAGGAGCTGGTAGCAGGAAAAAAAAAAAAACTAAGCTGCACGTCCGAGGTTGAAGTAAACCTTTTGTGTGTGCAAATTGTGTGTGTCTGTGTATGAAGAATAGACCATTCTCAGAATTGAAAGACAGAACCCGGCTTTTTTCAAGGTACAAGGAAAACTTTGTCATACATTAAGGAATGCTTAATTTAGCTGTTATTCAGATTTACACAAGGAATGCTTGTACCATGTCAAACATGAATTCAGGCAATGCCACATTGATTCCAATTTATAAATTTAGCATGTTTTTGAAAAAAATGGAAATTTTAAATTTTGAGTACCACAAGTTACTACTGGATAAACCTCATAGTAGTGGGAAAGCACAGGGCCCATCCCTCAACATTTCTCAGGGCATGTTTTTGAGAATGTTCTTCACCACATATGAAATAAAACATAGTTTTCTTGGACTCTTATTTTATTCGATAATAATTTTTCAAAACTATGGTGTACAACGTTACATGTCTTGCTATATCTCTCGCTATTTTCAACCAAGTTCTGAGCCATTTACAACGTCACGCATTAAACAATTACATGCTCCGTAAAACATCTAAATACAATATGATGCATCATGACAATCACTGTCCTACGAATTTCACAACATATTCCTTCAGGTTGCACCGATTAAGACATCACAGCATGATTTCAAGGCGATCAAATTTCTATACGTCAATTCTATGGTCGAACATACCTAAATACTACCAAAGAGAGAAGAGTTCCAGTTGGACCATTACGTGTTATATTATTGAACCGATAAGTTGAAAGCTATAGGAGCCAGTAAGAGACCAAAGGTCAGAGAATTGATGATGCTTCTCCAAAATGGCACATTTGAGCGATCGCTGTGGCAAGGTTTCTGACTAGTATTCTATATGCAAATCATTCACCTGTGATTTTTCATTTCCAGGTGAAGGCACACTCATTGCTTTCACCTGGTATGCAGTATAGAAATTAAAGACGCTTCCACAAAAGCTTCTCCCCATAAATCTGGGGCTGGCGATAATGGTCTCATCAAGGATGTAGCAGGGAGCATATGGATTGGACTAGGATTTAATCCAGTCCAAAATTTTCAAAGAGGAGAGATGCGTCTAGATGTAATGTTGATTCAAAAGCCTCTCTCTCTTGCAGAATCGATAAAAAGGGGAATATTTACTATTGAACCGGTTTGTCTCTCTATAAAATGTGATGAAGAATTTCTTATATATCAAACAATAGGTATTTCATCGGTTAATAAGACCATGTGCTTAGAAACAGCTGGCATAACCCATCGGAGGCTTGTGATGTCCTTTGAGGGATTTTTTTTTTTTCAAGTTAAGCTAACGAAAATCAGCAACAATTTAGGATAGAAAATGAAATCAGATGGAAGAGGCGATTAAGGTTTGCAGATACCAAGAGCATGAACCAAATAATGTGCGAGAGATCTCTCCCCATAATAGCATATACCAAAACCAGTATACAGGGGAAGGGATAACGGGGAAGAGACAGATTGTCATTAAATTTTTCTTGAATCCAACTCAATGGATATCAATAGGAAGTGCATCCGTACTTGCCATTAAAAATATGACTTAACTCTCAAATAGAGCAGTTAGAAGACTTCGTATTAGTTCCATAATTCTTAGAAGAAAAACATGAATGAAAAAATGAGAATTAGAAAGAAAAGTGCCAAGAAATATATTAAAGGAGAGATGAATGCTTGTTCATACCTATGAAACTTCAGGAATGTGTTCCATAGAAAGGAAAGTTGGTTACCCACACGATTAAAAGCATCAAGCAGCTCTTCATTGGACATAGAATGAAGCATCAAATCATTTCCAACATCTACAGTACCATTTGATCTCTGCATAGGCATCCAATGAATAAATTGCAGTTCGAATAACATTTAAGATACATCAAGAAAAGAATAAATGGGGCAAGTACCTCCAAACTATTTAGTGCACCACCTGCCAATTTTCCACCACTCATCCTCATCCCAAAGCTTTTAGCATCAGCATCAGTCATTTTACTTCTGATGATATCTAACTGAGAATCTGTTAAATCATCAATTTTTTGACCAAGTGTCTCGCTGATGTTTTGGAGTTCCTCAAGAAGAATACCGTGTGCAATTAATAGTGATTTGACAAGATCAATTGCACTTGAACCCATGTGAACTGATTGACTCCACGCCTAGGGATTGAAAGGCAGATTCAATGTGTAAGCCAGATGGATGAAGGCGTAAATTGTAGCAATAAAGAGAAGTAAACATGAAACCCTAAGAAACACATTGTTTTAGTCACTACTTAGGTTAAAGCGAAGTAAGCAATAGAGAATTATAAAAAGCTTTTAACATAAGCTACCGAAGTTTTCTATTACTAAATTTCGTATAAGCTACATTGGGGGATACAACATTGCCTTCATCCAAATAACGGAATTTCAGACTTTGCTTCCTGCATAATTTTAATTGTTTACTAGACAATCAATCAGTCATTTTCACATGTTACGATTTTACATACAAATTCACTAATTTAGATCCATTTTGGAATTATTCATGTCTGGATATTCAGTATAACTCTGGCTACACCACATAACACGATGGAGAATAAGCAAAAACAGCCAGACTTTCAACACCTCAATCGCCAGCTTATTTGAACATACCTTAGCATAGATCTAGTTTCACAAGTTCACAAGGAACTAAATCTCAATTAGTCGACCCTTCTTAGAATGACTTTCAGTTCTCCAACAAATCGGCCAATCCACATTTCTGGGGTATATTTAACGCGAAGATCACACGTATGGAGAAACATTCGTATATACATAGATAGAAAGACATAAACCCATGCAGCATTGTCATGTTTTTAACATTTTGTCTTAATAAGCATGTTCCCATGAATATACAATGCATTTCATTCCTCAAAAGTATAAACATCATTACTTTAAATTATTGTATCTTTGGACAATTACAGGAAATTTTAAAATTGAAATTGTACTTGAGGATGCAAAAAAAAATTCAGCCCCAAACAAAATTAACCATAAGAGAAAAAATTAATGTGAAGTAGAATGGGTCACTAATGGACTTGAAATATCATTATATGACCACACTGCTCTATCCTAACTCAAGGAACAAATTATCAGAAGATCTCCGAGGGATATTGCATATGTTTATAAACTAGAGAGCTCAATATCACATACTTCGTCCTGCCTATCGATCTGCCCATCAGAAGCTCCTCCTCCAGCATAAAAAGGGCTGTAACTCTCCAAATTATATAATATTACAATAAGCAAAGCATCACCAAAATGTGGAAATTTGTCACTAGGAAAAAAACTAGAGTTGACACAAACCTTGGTACCTTCTGTGGAGGTGAGTGATTAACAGCTTTCAGAAGGACAATGTGTATACTTAGATCGATAAGAACTGCATGGAAAGAATCAAAATGGACTGGACAATAGGAATGCAGTCCCAAAAGTGCCTTTGGGGGTATCCGGAATTCATGCACCGCAGCAGGAGAAGAATCAATAGACACAGGCATCTCAAAACTGCAATAAAGAAAAACGTTTGTATAGAAATTAGAGGAGCTACAAATTGGAACAGAAGAAAATTAGCTCCTGGTGTTGATAAACAAGAACGTTTGAGTGACCCTTACTCGTTCTCTAAGGCTGAGGCGTACATAAGGTCAAACCTCAGTATTACTCCTGGTGTTGATAGGATCTGAAAATTGAAAACTTGGAATCTTTTAATGAAAAATGACGTCTGTGGCATATGAGGAGAAAATTTCGGAAACCACAACGAACATTAAAATCAAATTCTATCAACGATAGTAAATATAGAACTATTGCGCAAAAAATAAAACAAAGTGATGAAACATTAAAATACCTAATCAGATAAGCACATGTGAAAAAAAAAGCATGTTGGCTTGTGCCAATGGCAAAAAGAGAGCAACTCTACCTCATCCTTTTCAACTACTAGGTTAAAAGAGACCATAACGGAAAGAGAAACATCCTGCCTAGCATATTTGATTCGGAATGGCTGTGTGGAGAAACTGTGGTCAGCATCATCAATTCTCCAAACTCCTGCGATGCTATCGGACAGTGAACCAGGAACTGCAACCATACAGCATGTCACATATGGCCAGTGCAATTTAAAATTATGAGGAATACTTCACAAAAAATGGAACACAAATGCAATAGATGTCCAGTGCCCATAAATGCTATTAGCTTCTTCATGAGAACTACAAATAATATACAGTTTCTTTCAAGAGAGCGTAAATGAGAATCTTCAAAAGAATCCTCTTTCAAAAAAAAATTATTTTATTTTTAACAACAGCCAGTATCATGTCCAATGGTGGCAATTGTTGTTTTCGACAGTGATGTGTGCGTGTGTGCCAAGAAACCAAGAAACCAAGAAACGATATCGCATCAAACCACCTGGAGTCACCAACTTTCACGAAGTCTTCATTTTCAAAAAATTCCGTCGCTTACAAAATTTGTAACAGGTAGCGTCGTCATTTTCATCTCAACAGCTTGTATCATGCTACAAATGTGAGTGACCTCAGTTCCATACATTTTCATTATATTAGTAGCATGAGACTTGCGATCCAGCATAACATAATAAAACCATACCTTCATATTGCACCACTCTCGCTGGTGTCGCAGGTGAGCATCTACTGTCGTCCTCCCACCTCATAGTTACTCTTATCTGATACCATCTGCCCAAGAGAATTTACCCCCTATAAGTCCGGATTTTTATTCTAGTTCCTAAACAACCCGTCGTCGAGAAGCATTACCCTTGCTGGAAGAGATCCAGGTTGTGGAACCTGTGGATGTAAACGGCAACCTCGTGGACAGTCTCCAACATGGCCGGCGGCTCTAAGAAGATCGCCCTCCGGGGCCTCGTTGACTGCTTCGCATGGAGCAGCCTCCTCGAAGACGCTGCCCTCGCGTTCAAGCCGGCGAACAGCTTCAGCCGCGGCAACATAGGCGATCGACCGTGCCGACTCCCCGCACGACTCGCATCCCTGCACTCTCCCCCAGTCCCACCCCCACTACCCGAAAATGACAGTAGCAAACTAACTCCCAGGCGCCTAATTCCTCAGCAACTCCACGAATTCCTCCTCCTCCATTCCATTACTCCACGAATTCCTTCAGGGGCCAAGTCCCCTCGAAAGTCGTCAACGGGATCGGATCCGACGAGCCGCCTAACCAGCTATTCTGCCGGTCGTGGGCTGGGGCCACGTCAGGACGACCGCCCCACCTAACTCTCCTTCGCCGTCGGTAAATTCCTAGGGTTTCGCCGTGGACGGAGACCTGAGAGACCGTGGTTTCGGCTTGTCCCTATTCTTCCTCCTGCTCCTTCCCGGCGGTCGTCGTTTGTCCTCGTATACACAGACACGCGACCAAGGAAGAGAGAGAAAGTAGAGAAAGAAGAGCCAGAGAGAGTGCGAACGGCGGGGGGTCTCGGCAGTTGCATCAATTGCTCAATCTCGACCGTTCATTTAACGTCATCAGAACTAAGTGGGGGGCGATTAGAGATCGTGACCGTCCCCCTCTTCAACGTAATCGTCAGGTGGTTCTCGATAATTTTCCATTGCGGACCGGACAAAGGGAGCAAACCGTCCCGATCATTTGCGGGTAAATGGCCTCCCAACGGAGCGGGGCCCACGACGAGCCAATCATGAGTGAAAGTCATTCGGTCCCCTGGGCTCCACATTTCTGCAATGGCATGGGCGCAATTTTGAGACTTTGGGCCGCGTTGACGCACAACAAATATGTCCACTTTATCGAGTGGGCTTGGCCCGCCGTCAAGGAGATCACGACGTACACGAAAGGCAAGAGTTCTCTCAAAAGAAGGGAAAAGGTGGGTGCTGACGTGGACGCTGACCCGTCATTCAAGGCGCCATCATAATGGGCCTTTCCTGGCGTGGCCCATATAAGCCCATTTCCCTCCGGCCTATTCACTGCGTCGGGCCTCGAACTAACCGAATAAATTTCGGCCCAATTGACCGACGTCCCGCTCCCGGCAAAGTGTGCAAATACTCCGCGGAAGCAGGATAAGTATTGAGTGAGACGCTGAAGGGTTTAAGGGGGGTTTAAACGGCAGGTCTCTCTGGGAACAGGCGTCATCTCCCTCTTCTCCACCGCTTCCGCCTTCGCCGCAACGAGCGGCGGCGCGCTCCGCCGCCATGAGAGTAGGGAACGGGCAGGGTTTACTTCTCTATCTCTACTCTCCGTCTCGGCGATCCGCCTGCTCGCACGTCTTCCTGTTCCGCTGCGGCTCCGGTGACGAATTCCGACGGTGGAGGACCGGGAATTTCTCGACCTCTTCTTCTGCTACAAATTCCTACCCCTCTCACTCTCAGTGGAGGCACCACGACGAGGAGAGCAAGAGCGTGAAGGTCGCCGTCTGGTGGGACTTTGAGAACTGCAGCATCCCTAGCGGGGTCAATGCATTCCGGGTTCCTCATCGGATCACCTCCGCTCTCCGTGCCCATGGGATCCGTGGCCCCGTCTCCATCACTGCCTTTGGGGACGTTGCCCAGCTATCTCGCTCCACCCAGGAAGCCCTCTATACTTCTGGAGTCTGCCTCAACCACGTTCCTAACTGTCAGTTCCCTTCACTGCTCGATATATACAGATATATGTTATCCCTTCTATTCATAATCATCGCCAATTCGCTCCTATATGTTATCCGCCTTCCGCTAATTATTTCATCTGTTTTACGAGGAAATCAGTCGATGTCATTCTCCTTTTTTTTCTTTCATCTCTAAGGATCGATCATGGAAGTGAAATATGTAGCGTATCAGCTTCGCTTCAGCAATCTAGTGATCTTAACGTGACGATCTTTTTTCTGGACGCTTGCAAAATGCAGGTGGGAAAAATAGCTCCGATAGATCTCTCCTGGCTGATCTCGTTTACTGGGTTGCTCAAAACCCTCCTCCTGTACACTTCTTTCTGATATCTGGTGATGGGGACTTCGCTAACATTCTACATCGGTTAAGAATGAACAACTATAACATACTACTTGCTAGTGGGGATGGAGCTTCTGGTGCTCTCTGCAGTGCGGCAACACTTATGTGGCAGTGGAACTCACTGGTGAGGGGAGACAGCCTCACTGGCAGGCACTTCAACCACTCCCCCGATGGACTACATGGTTCCTGGTATGGCCATTACAAAGGTGCTCTTGACAATCCTTTCCCAGATGGCGAGCAGACTAATATTATGCCTCCAGAGGAACCCACGGAGTTCCTTACAGATTTCAAGCCCCGTCAGATCCCCAAAGCTTTGGTGAATGGAATTCGCCAGGTTCTGTTTTCACACCCGGATGGAATCAGTCTGTCAGAACTTCGATCAGAGCTGAAAAGAAATAATATAGTCTTGGAGAAGGATTATTTTGGGCATAGGAAGTTCTCACACCTTCTTTTGTCCATGCCAAACATTTTGAAATTCAAATTTAATCCTGGCGATACTCAGCCCCTGGTTCATGGTCTCCACCAGAGATCAGTCAGTCAGTCTGAACCGAATTCGAAGCCCAGTGCAGTTGTGGCTAGTAAGAGTTCTGGAGGTGATGGCAAATCATTCTTTTTGCCTCGAAAAGCAACGGAAAAACATTTTACTCTTGAGAGTGACCTGTCTACTTCGTTTAGAAATAGCATAGATGCAGACGGTCCTCACATAGCAACTTCTGCAGAAGAGTCTCTCGCTCTCTGTAAAGGGGCAGATGGTGTTACGATCCATCAGAAGGATGATGTGACTGCTTCTTGTAAAGAGGTTGATAAGAAATCTGGTGAATCTCAATCCAGTAAGAAGCAGAATGAGGAGATCTCGACGAGTGAAGGGATTTTTGGAGGATTGTGGAAAAAACTTATGGGCAAAAGGGGAGGATCAGCTAAGGAGAATACAAATAAAATAGAAAGTGGTCGTGCTTCTGGTGTTGTCTCTGAGAACATTGGTGGTTCTAGCCCCGAGGAGATGCAGCCAGGGAAATGCATTGACCGGCCAAATTTGAATCAGAACAGTATATCTCTTTCCTCTTTATCTGGAAAAGATACCCTCCATAGTAATATTGACGTGATGGAAGATAAGGACAAAATTGTTGATTGTCCACCGGTTCCCAGTGGAAATTCCTGGGATTCTGGCACAGCTGTAAAGCAGGATGAAAATTCCCGGAAATCTGGATTATTCAGCCACATTTTCGAGTGGTTTAGATCTTGGAAAGCCAGTTCTAGAGCTTCTGAAAAACTTCAGGGCAATATTTCTGAATACGTTAATCAATCTGTAGAAGGACAGGGGCCGGATCAACATGGAATATGTTGCACTAACGTGACTCTGCCCGGTATTCAAGCTGAGCACCATAATTTATTTTCAAAGCCTCACTTTTGGGATTCCATGGAATCATTTTTGGGTACGTCAAAGGCATCAGATCTCATCTCAAAGTCAAGGACTAGGTACTTTAAGTCATTCTTTATTCCTCTTTGGTTCTCTTACATCTCATTGATTGCCTTCTGATTGGCGCTTATCACCTAGCATATATTTATATGATACATTAACTTGAAAGCCCTGTTTTTCACGGGCTTTTCATGTAATTAGTACTCCTGAGGCATTTTCTTTGTTAACTTTAGCATCTTCTCCATAAGTAAGAAAGAATCATGGTTTATATAGACCAAAATCTAGTAAATAGATGAAAAAGTAAAGAAAGTTCTATCAGGACAGGGGAATTTCTATTTGCATTTGGTAGGGTAATCTGACACCTCACTTGTTTTTGCCTTTTAAAATGCTGGTTAAAAAGATATTATTAAGTAGGGGGCTTATCTCATGAGCAGGTTGCTTATTTCCCACATAGCTTGTTTTAACAGTAGATCAGTTCATTAAATTTATTGATCTGTAACTCTTGTACACCTACAAATCATTGCACAATTGATGAAAATCATTTCCCAGAGTTTCGACTGTAGATCTTTCCATTAAATTTATGAATCATTAAGCTCATTTGTTTAATGGACGAGTTTAAAGAAAATATTAGATTGGTATCCAGGCTGGGATGAAAAATTAAGCAACTAGGTCTAGAATTGGCATAAGAAAATGATTTTTCTTATATGGGCTATTATTGCATGATCTCTATGCTTTTAGCAGATCTTTTTCAGTCCTGTCCAGCAGACACTCTCCCTTATCAGTGCGACGTCATGACTAGATTACAGGAAACACCCTGGGTTTTACTTCTGCATTATAAAAGTAGGGCTCTTATTTTTCATATACTGTCTGCAGTTTATATTTCCACAGAGCAGGTGCTTGTGATTTTGGTCCTTAGATGATACATTAACAGAAAATTTTTCGGAAAGATATCTGTATCCTTCATTCGTCTATCATACACTTGTAATTAGTTTTACTGCTAGGTGAGCTGTAATATATGCCTATAGGAGGATTTTTGAAGAGTCAACTTACTCATAGGAAGCTGTAGATTTGACTTCTGTTTGATGTCTAAGCTTTTTTTTCTTCTTCATTTTTGTGTTCAGGGAAGAGCTAATGCGCGGGCTGCAGAGGGAGGGCCCTTTAGTACTTACTGCTCTTAAAGAGGGCCATCTTTGTCAGCTGGTAAATTTGTTGATCGCGGAAAAGAAATGGTTGGAAGAAAGTACTTCACAGGCTTATCCTTTCAAGCTAATGCTACCCACTAAAAGAGTGTGCGTTCCATCTCATGCCAATGGAGTCAACGGCTTAAGATCCATCTTCTCAGATAAGATATTTCGGTCCAACTCAGAGGCTACTTCCAAGCAGAGCACGCGAGACCAGCCTTGGAATCCTTCTAGTGGGAGTCTGGAGGGCAGAGTTCCGAAGGGTATCGCAGAGCTGAGAGATTGGTTCAGCAGAATCCACGAGAGCAGTGACAGTGCCCTTGCATCTGAGGACTACGAGAGGCGATTTGAAGGCGAATTCGGTAGAAAGCTCGATTCTTTAGTGTATGGGTATTTCACTGCGGATGATCTAGTTGCAGCGTGCTCTGTTGAAGCTGAAAGCAGCCCAAGAAGCGTCGGCAGCTGCCCAAAGATATCCAGAGCAGATACACTCTCTGACTGCAAGACGCTGTTGACGGACTTCCTGGAGCATCATCCCAGTGGCTTTAACATCGGCTTGTTCAGGCCGATGTTCTTCAAGAGATACGGCTACGTTCTCGATTACCAGGCCCTCGGCTACCCCAAACTTGCATCTCTGTTGCAGATAATGCCGGGCGTGAGGATAGAATCCTCTCTTGTTCTGCCCGCCGAGGCGCTCCACCCAGATTCCGCCGACCAGAAGGCAGTAAATGGCGCGGAAAGCGAAGTTTGGGACGAACTGGGGCCTCTGTCTGGCTGCGACGGAAGGGGAGGAGAGACGGCGGAGAGCTGGGAGGTCAGCGAGGCAGAGGCTTCAGACCCTCAGGAGTCTTCAAGGAAGCGAGCTCATGGGAGGAGTAAGAATGTGAGCGCTCTTCTGGAGGTTCTTGATGGGTACTACTCGAGGCAGAGGGAACAGGGTGGCGGCAGAGAGGATCGGGTGCTCTTTGCTGAGGGTCAGACGGAAGGCGGGCTGCGGGCAGAGGAAGGAGACGGCAGCGCCGCCGGTCGGACCCAGGTGGCCGAACAACCGGTGGATTTCTCCGTCTGCGGCGGCAGTTATGCGGAGGCGTCGGATTTGCCGACCCGGAAGCGGAGTATCTCTTTCGTTTCCGATTCAAAAGAGGAAGAGGAATCGGCGAGCAGCTTAGTTGGCAAAGTCAGGAAGCCGGGCGACTCGAGATCTAAGAACAAACTCGATACCCTTGGAACTGCGTGAGCAAGAGTCGATTGTTCCGTTTGTTTCTTCGGCATCATCGTCGTCGTCGTTATTTTCCGCTCTGGGAAGGTCCATGAGTTGCAGGGGCCCAGAGCTTCCCATTGAGAAAGTCTGGAGAGAGAAACACAGGCAGACAAATTCCGCGGCATATTTCTTCGGCAAGCTATTGGGTATCTCTCTCTCTCTCTCTCCTCTGTAACTTGCTACACGCTGATTAGGGGGAAGAAAAAAGGATCTAATCTTACAGCAATCACAGGCCTCGCCCTGCTCTCTCTAAGGAGAGGAAGCTCCCCTGGGGGCGGGCAGAGCAGGCCGGGCCATCATATGCTCCATAAAGCGAAGGACGCCGCCAGAGCCACCGAGAGAGCCATTTGAATGCCGAGAGCCCTCCCTGCCGCCTGCACCAGCGAGGACGCCCTTTTGAGTAGGGAGGAAAAGAAAAAGGGCAAAAGCGGGGATAAAGAAGACTGGCAATGGCACGCGTTTCTTCTCACCGGTTGCCCGCCGCCGGCGTCCGGCGGAGGACGGGCGGCGGTGGAGTCCAACGCGCCGGTCGGTAGCGGGATCGCGGGGTTGCTGCTGATGAACGCGATTCCCCCGTCCGAGCCCGCCGTAGAGGCCGACGGCGCCGTCGCCGGCGGAGGAGCGGAAGCACCGGGCGAGGGGCTGGAAGGGGTGAAACGGCGGGCGTGGGGCAGGGACGGGAGGAAGTCCCCGCCGTCGTCGCCGGCGGTGGGTGACGGCGCCGGCGAGGGTGGCAGTACCGTCAGGTGGGTTCGCTCTCGCATGTCGCAGGAGTCGAGTGTCTCGTTGCCTCGCGCGAAGTAGTAGTTCCCCGGTCGGGACGGGTGCCACTGTCGCAGAGAAGCGAATTCTCAGTTTCTCAGTCCCAGAGAGAGAGAGAGAGAGAGAGAGAGAGAGGAAGTACCCTGAAGTGGGACGTGGAGGGGGCTCCGCCCGCGGTGCTGTGCAAGAGGCTCGCCTGGGAAAGAATGCAGAATTTGTAGGCCCTCATGCTGTGAAACATGTAGACGTCGGAGAGCTCCACTGCTCTGAAAACTGGGGACAGGGAGAAAGAAGAAGAAGAAGAATGAGAGAGGAGACGAGGGACTTCACGAGGAGAGCAGGAGCTCGCGGAGCAGCTCTCACCGACGGAGTCGCCGACGTGAAGGACTGGTCTTTCCCACCGGGCAAGCTCGTCGACGACCACCGTGCGTGCCCAGGAGGGGCGGAAGTACAGGAACTGGACCACCACCAGCAGCTCGAGCCGCCGCGGGAAAGCCATGGGGTGGTCACCTCTGCTCCCCTTCCCTCCGTATTATTCTTCCACGCGCGCCGCTCTCCCTGCTTTTAAGAAGCATGTCTAGAGAGAGAGAGAGAGAGAGAGGGAAAAGGGAATTCCTTTCTCTCACCTCCGTCGACGGGCTCCGCATGGCTTCTTATGGGAAGAGGGTACGGAGAAGCGGACAGGGCTTCGGGGGCCGAGTTCTGGAAAAGGAGGGCCAACCGATCCTCGAGTCACCCAACACCACTACCGCGGCCGAATCTCGCTTTCAACATGAATCTTATGACCATAAAATGATCACTCTAGAGAGAGAGAGAGAGAGAGAGAGAGAGAGAGAAAGAGAGAGAGAAAGAGAGAGACAAGGGGTTGGTCAAACTTTGACCCTCGAGGCTCCCCGGATTATAACGGCGGAAAGCTTCCCTGGGCCCTCCGATTTCAAGTGGCCGAGTCAGCGAGTCCGGGTCAGGTAAGAGTAAATACTTTCTATTGACGCGGGCAGAAAGCTGCATTTCTGTGATAGTTTCAGTTTCTAAACGGTATAGAGAGCTCAGGCGGCGGATGCCCTCTCGTCACCACTGCGCGGAGCAGGTCCTCCTCAGCCGGGGCGGCGGCGGCCTCTCCTTCTCCACCACGGGGATCAGATTCTCCATGAGCTACAGAGAAACCCAGTTCATAGAAGTCGGTCAGACATGATGAGAACATCAATTCAGACTTGGAGAATCAGGAAATCAAGTTATCTCGTTTTGGAAAGAAAATAAAGAAACCCGATGTGATCATACAATTATTTGAGAAATAAAGAGACTATACAAGTAATTCAGTAAAATTCATCAGCCACAACTAACATAGAGAGGATCACAAAACCAGTCAAACTCAGTGAAATCTTCTCCCAGATCCAAGGAAGGATGAGGCCATTAAAGAACACCACAGAAACATTCTAGCCGGGGAAAAGTTTTCTCAGCTGTAAGATAAATGTACTTGGTAAGGATCTAAGGATTCACTGCTCTATGATCTTTAGTCATATGGTTAACCTGTGATTATACACATGATGCTGCTCCTTTCATGATCTTGATTTAGTCAAATAACATGCACGGAAAGAACTAGGGGCTAGATATGCCCTCCGACCAAATTCCAGACCCATAAAGATCCACGTATGTTAATTCCAAAGTATCTATCCTCGTAATCAGAGATATAAATCACTGATACACCAGAAACAATAAACCACAACACAATAAATAAGTAAAAATAACCTACCTAGAAAGCAAAAGATAAAATAACAACTTACTTAATTTAACAGGTCAATGAAATAATTTAAAGAAGAATACATGCATGCTTTCATGAACATAGGAAAAACCAAAGTCATAAAATCATGGATTTTTACCACAAAAATCACGTAAATAAATAATAATCAGGAAGGTAAACTTACTTGTTTAAACCTTGCCTTTTTCTGCTCCACCTGCAGTTTCACAATCACATCAGCTCAATCCCAAAAAGGCATTAGAAGAAAGACAGGAAAATAAACAGTCCAAAGTGCTTATCCAAACTAAGACTGATTGTGAAGGCTAATAATATAAATATAGAAGTAGTTTCTTTCATTCGAAAAAATGAAGAAATGATAATGTAAGAAGTTCTTCCCATAAATGATTAAAGGCCCAGTTTGTTGGTTACCACACAGTGGACACCAAAATGTTTCCAACAATATAACCTTAGTTTCTTAGAAGTAGAATCCCATCATGTTTCTAGGAATAATGAATGTTGTCAGCCTATGAACAAAAGCTCGGGGAATTGAATTAGAAAAATGATTCCATCAAGTTTGTCTCAGGTTTTGCATCATGAAGATCATCTGAGGGATGAAATTACCATTCCAAAGAATCGAAAAAATTCATTCAATCTCACGAGGATAATGTTTTGCAAAAGGATCGATGACAAATATCTAATAGATCTTTTCTTCTCTTGATTCAATCAAACATGAACTTAATTCTTTTGGTACTACAAGGATAATTCTCTTTCGGGAGAATTGCTATGCTGAGTGTATGACCCTTTGTCGTTAGACTAAGGTAATCTAAACGCATAGTGGGGACGGAATAGGGTACCTGCTCTTCACGCATAGTTGCGTTTTCCTCCTCAAGCCTTGCTGCTAACGTTTCAAGTTGCTGAATATAAGCCTACAAATTACCCAGAAAAATACAAAAGCAGGAACAATAAATTTACATATCGAAGATTGCTTCACGGACGAATTCGTGAAACCTTATTGAAAAGAGTTGATTTAACTGACTAGTAATTAAGCCAAAGATAATACACAGACCTGTTTCCTCTCCCTCGACCTTGCAGCCGATTCCCTGTTCTTTATCATTCTCTTCTGCCTCTGCTGCGATGCCTTGTCCACGGGATCCGCCACCAGCTTCCTCTTTCCCCTCCCTCCACCTCCGCTGTCCGCTCCATTTCCAAACCTTGCAAATGATCCATCCACCAGGAGTAGCTGTTGATTATTTTGGGGGTATCGATCTCCCGTGGAGGCGTCAGCCGCAAACCGGACCATGGGCCCCTCCACTTGCGGCTGCATGAACACCGGGGCAGATGGTGAGTCATCCTCCGTCTCCGGCCCAGCACGCGCTAAGAAGTCCTCGAGCGTTATCTCCTCGAATTCCTCCTTGTAAATCCCCTCCGCTCCAACGTCAGCCTTCCGGTCTCTAGAAATCTGTTCCCAAACCTCCTCCGTCGTCCTCCTATCTGCGACCCTGGGCGCCGAGAGCCTTTCCTGTTGAGACAGGGGCACCTCCCTTTCACTTCCACCCCCCCCGGCGCCGTCCTCCAGTGACCTCGCACCACCGACATAGGGCGAGTTCTCATCTCCCATGGCGGCACCTCGGGCAGGGCTCTCCGCGTAAAAATTTCGCAGCAGATCCTCCATGTTCGTAGATCCAGCGTTGCTCCCGCGCCGACCCCCGCTCAGCTCCGCCAGGCGTCCGACGGAATATAAGCTGGAATGGCGCGCCACATCTGAACCTGCCGACGACGACGACGCCATCACCCGTGACGACGCCATCTCCCGCCTTTCTAGGCTCCCCGCGGTCGTCACTACGCCCACGATCAAGTCTCCCCTTCCTCTGGCGAAGTTCTCCGGGACTCGTTGTCCCGCTCCACCAAAGCGGCCCCTCCACTGTCGGCCGCCTGCCTGGCCTTACCAGCGGTGGCGAGCTCCTCCAGCTCGAAATTCGCGCAGGCAAATCGAAGGTTCCGTGTTCTATGCCTCAGTACAGAGACTCCTTTTCGACGGCCCCAAAAGCTCTGCCGTGAATGACGGAAGCGGCTTCAGAAGTTGACCCGTCCTGAATCTTTTACAAATAACCCTTGTTAAAAGTTTTTTTAAACATATAAACTTACCATGTCTTAAATAAAGATTATTACTAGGCTCGCACATTCGGGAGGGTAAGCTCACTGACCGGTCTCCTTAACAGCCTTAAAGCGAGCGGTCGACCCGGTGAAGCGGGCCTTCTCTACAGCACGGTAATCTATGTGAAGTGAAGAGGTCGGGTTTGATGGGCCCATTATTGGCCTAGTTGAGCCCAGTGGTCGGCCCAATAACTCGCAGCGTCGTCCACTTGGGTCGGAGCAGAGGAGATTCTACTCCCGTTGGGGAATATTCCATTTGAGTGGTGGATGCCGCACCGAACTGTTCGGTGAAATGCGGCAAATGGAGGTCCATACGAAAGGCCTAGAATATTCCTCCTTCCCATCGCCGCAGGATCGCCATCGGACGGCAAATTAACGGATAATTATGAGACCTACGCTGCGCATCGCGTCGACTCGCCCGAGTCAGTCTCTCCTTCGGGTTTCCCACGTGGGGGCTGTGGGGCCCGCCCGCCTCACTGTAGCACTGCAGGGAGAATCTCCGATGAGTCACACTGTAAATAGAGTGTGTTCTTGTGCTTCAGTCCCCAAAATATTATCATATTTATATTTGCTCTTAACCTAAGTAAATTAAAAAATAGGCTTAAGAGATAAGGACAGTTTTCTTTACGGGGATGTAGTATTATCCGTTATGCCATCTTTTCCGGGTTTCAGAATGTTCTAACTATTGTTGTGGGTTTACATGAAAATATACGTTTTCATGGCGTCCCCCGCTGCAACCCGTCCTCTCCCCACCCCCCCCTCCCCGGGCTGCAAAGCGCCTCCGCGACCGAGGGCACCCAGCGGAAGGAGGAGAGGGAAGGGTCAACTCAGAGTGACCGGGGAGGAGGAGGGGAGGATATCCACAGGAAGGAAGGGAGGAGGAGGATTTGGGTACAATTCCATCTTTGTCGTGGTCCCTTGCTGCGTCTGATATTCCTCCACTGGAAACGGAGGATGCTGATAGAAGAATCTGAGGGTTTTCTCGCTTTTCCGTGTGGAGTTCGCTAGCCTTTATGGAGATCAGAAGGGAGTTCTTCCTTGCTCTCTTACTCGGGGCTACTGTTCTCCGGCGTTGACAGGGAAAGCTGTCTCGTGGTTGGTCTGGTGATTTCAGCGGACGTCGATTTGAGATTTCAGGGGTGAGTACGCTTCTCGATTCTGATTTCGGAAGATGTCCGCCAGTGCAGATGAGAGGAGGGAGTGATTCGAAGTCGGAGGGAGATTTCCAGATCTGGCGGCGCGTCCCCCGTAGATCTGGGGATAATCTGGGGATAATCTGTGGGAGGAGGTGTGAAGGGGATTGGAGGATCCGATCGGGGATGGATTTGGACGATTTCAACGCGGTGATGAGGAGACTGGATGTGGATCTGTGGACTCTGATTGACACTGCCATCTCCGTGGCCGCCAGAGACCACGGGAAGGAACTCAGGTCCCGAAGGGATGGCATCGTGGAGCAGCTCTACGCTCCGGTCGTCCCCCGGTACCGGAACGGCGACTGGGATGACGGCCAAGGGGGTTCTTCCACAGCGAAGTCAGGGGAGAAGGAGCGAATCCAGTCGAGAGGAGCCGATGAGAAGGGAAAGCTCCCGAACGAGGAGAGAACCCAGCGGGGTTCTCCGCCGGTGACGCCGTCACCAGACAGCGAAGAAGACTACGAAGAAGAAGCTGACGAAGAAGAAGAAGAAGAAGCTGAAGCAGAGGAAGAAGACGATCGGGATCGGATGCGCAACGGCCGTCCGGCCGAGGATGAGGAGAGTAAGATCCTCGCGATCAAAGAGCACCTCGACGATCCCGATCAGGTCAATCTCTTATCGTGTTGATCTCCATGAATTCCTGTACCCCTCGTCTTCTGCTGTACAAACTTCTCATTTCTTCCGGGATTGTTCCACAGCAGTCCGAGGACTCCCTGATTCAGATGCTCCAAACTCTCGCAGACATGGACATACAATTCAAGGCTCTCAAGGTAGTGGCTCGGCATTAACCCGCAACCTTCCTCCTATCCGCAGGGAAGACCGTCGCCTGATTTTTCCATTCGGAGTTTCATCTTTGCGCTCTGTGAAATCTCAGGCGACCGATATTGGGAGGCAGGTGAATGGCCTCCGGAAGCACTCCTCCACCGAAGTTCGGAGACTGGTGAAGCATCTCGTGAGGTGAGGATGTCTCCTCGAATGCTCCCTCTTCATCCTCGGAAGAAACATCTGATGCAACTCTCGTGAGCAGGAAGTGGAAGGATATGGTGGACGACTGGGTCAAGAAAAACTCTCTCGAGACTGCGCACCCCTCCGTCATCGGTAGGCTTCTCCCTTCAGATCATCCAAATACTAGGAGAGGAGAGAGAGAGAGATCTTCTGCTGCTCTTCGATGCTATCTGTTGGTACTATCTCGGAATTGGTTGAAATGGCAGATGACGGTGACCCCCCGGAGCAGATTCAAGCAAAGATCGGTCAGAATAAAAACCAGGTAATCCTCAGATCCCTGCATCAGAGCTTCCCCACGGGCTCTAATGCCGACCCTTCAGACTGTAACAATCTCATGCTTCCGACGATTGTAGATCCCTGATTTTGGTCTCTCCCCCAACATCCACGGTGCCCAGCAGGCGTCTGACGCCGGTGAGGAGAAGATGGGTGATCTCTGTTTTCTTCCATCCCAACTCCTTTGTACCTTTCTGCACAGGAATGATCTCTGCTTGTCGCAGACGCCAGCTGGAGCTCTCACAAGGGCAGCAGGGAGGCGGCGGCGAAGGCGGAGCCTGCCGCGGGGCCCTCTCGGAGAGAAGCTCCCACCCCGCCTACCCCGCCTCATCAAGCTGTAAATCTCGAGAGAATCTCAAGGAGCTTGATGGCCACGTCTGTCTGTATAAAGTGTGGCTAACATGGCCCCCCCGCGCCCCCCCCCCCCCCCCCCCCCGGCGCAGGAGCAGAAGGAGAGCTTGGTTGACGCAGAAAGGCTGGCCTCGGCGAGGAGGAGGCTCCACGAGAACTACCAGGAGGCCCAGAACGGTACCTTCTTCTCCCCCCTCCCCCTCTGTTTCCCACCGTCTTTCTTTCTTCCACCGACCTTCCGGGCGAGACGCCGGAGCTGACGTTCTGGTTACCCTCCCGGCGCCGTCGACGGCGGAAGCCAAGAAGCAGCGGACGATACAGGTGATGGACATCCACGACATTCCCAGACCCAGAAACTCCTTCCTCCGCGGGAACACGCCGGCGAAGAGGAAAGGATAGACGGAGGGGAGCCTCCACCCGCCTGCTATTTTTCTGTCATATACACGCCTCGATCAGCATTGATCAGGCACCATAGCCAGCATGAAAGGTCTACATAAATCGGCAAATATATTATTTCTTCCTCGCCGTGGTCTCCTCGGCACGAGACGAACGGGGCCATCGCTTCCTCCAGAAAGAGACAGCCGTCAGCAGATACCCCCCCTGCCGCCTGGTCCCCGTCTTCATGCTCACGCTCTTCTTCCTCTGCTCACCTCGTTCCGCCGCTGTGGCGGCGCCGGCGGTAGGCCCGCCGGAGGCGGGGATGAAGAGGAGGTGCCGGTCGAGGAGTTGAGCCAGCGAGGCCAACTCGCAGGCATCGTACAGCGGGCTGCCGCAGTCCCAGGCGGAGTGCTCCCCCTCCTTCCTGGCATCCATCGGCGGCGCCCTTCCTCCTTCCGACCGACTGTATTGGACGGGGAGAGTCCTCTTCGGGGAAGCTTCGGGCCGGCTCACGGAAATTATGAGGGGAAGAAGGGCGGGTGACGTGACCCTTTTCCCGGTTAAGTAGCTGCTCCAGGCGTCTATCAGATCAGCAGATACTATCGATAAATCTTGTTTCCTCCCTGGCCAGTTAACTATGGTCAATAATTCCAATATTCGATCATCAATGCTGTCCTTTTTGGGTCGATCATAGGGGGAAATGAAGCGATAGGGGAATTTCTTGCATGAACGCATCTCCCCCTCATTTCTTGACATCTCCCATAAATAATTATGGATAATTCCTAGAGAGAGAGAGAGAGAGAGAAAATGAGAGAGGGAGGCACCAAGCTCTGGGTGTACCAGTCCACCGACTCTCTCTCTCTCTCTCGCTCTTCATATGGTGATTTTTATGGCACGTAAATTCTTTATTTTTGGATAAATATTTGTTAGCCTCATTGGGAAAGAATGGATCCGGGTTTGCAGGAGTTAGAACATTACGAAGATTTCGAACAGGTGGATCGTCTCCCTTATAACGAGGAATTTAAAGGATGGTAATTTAAGAAACCTCGAGCTCTTGATATGCATGGGCAAGACTCTTATTTGACATTTATCGCATAATCTCCCCATTCAGGTGAAATGTGTGCGTCTGTGTGTGTGTGTGTGTGTGTGTGTGTGTGTGTGTGTGTGAGAGAGAGAGAGAGAGAGAGAGAGAGAGAGAGAGAGAGAGAGAGAGAGAGAGAGAGAGAGGTCTCTTTCGCAGGATGAAGACGAGAAGAGGACTCCGATGAGGCCTTCTCAAAAATCACGAGGGCTTCTGTCACAGAGCCTGGCCTAAAAGCCTTCAAGCTTCACCCTGTGCCGTGATCTCTTGAACTGTCGGCTGTCCGCGAGCGCTACGACCTAAATGAGGCGTACCTCATTGAACTGTCGTGCCGAGGGTGTGTCTGCGTGATTGACGTCCCTGTGGAGAAGCCGTTGCCCTGATCGTCTTCCTCGGAGATCATCACGAGGGATCCGGGGAGCTGTCGACCTTGACGGGCCTGTCGTCGACATACGCACAAGCGCCGGACAATGTCGACGAAGCTATAGCACTCAGCAAGGGCCTTGTCGTGCCGCTTCTGTATCGCGAAGTTCTGCTAGATAAGGGGCACGACGGCTAATCCACGGCGGCCAGCAGTTCCAGAAGAGTAACGCTTCCGTGGTGGAGCCTGAAGAAAGAGGGCACCATATTAAATCTGAGGATGAGAGATTAAAGAAACCAGACAGAAGAAGTCGGAAGGAACGAAGAGAGAGAAATGAAAGAGCAAGGTGACTCATCCGTTCAAGAGGGGTGATACATCATTGTCGTTTGGTAGACCATTGATTGAAGAATTGACTTCAGTACGGAAGAAAGAGAGTACAACGAAAAGTCGGCAGCGGCGTTGACTCCTAGGCTTTCGTCCAGGCGAGTGTAGACATCAGATCTACAGCCGCAATCTACAGCAGGAGGCCGGCGGGGTCTCCTCTATCAATTCCTATCAGCTTCATTGTAGTAGCCGCACGGAGGAACCACACACAGCCGTGTCCTCGACCCCTTTGATGATTCATCACTTCTCAAGTGTGTAATCCCTGGTCTCTCGGTCGTCCTCCCTCGCCGATGAAATGCAAGGACGGGCAATCAAGGACCGCTCCCGGGCTGGGGCTACAGGGGACCTTACCTATAGGCTCCGCCCATCGTGAGGAAGCTACTATGAGACCTTCTCAGGCCTAGATTACCTTTAGCACTGCCTGTGACACCCCTTTCAAAGAGGAACCAGGTTTAGGGAGTTAAACTGCACCATTGGCATGAGGAGGTGCGGTGATCCATGCATGTCCGCATGCAATGGGTGCATGTCGGCACAATGTGGCGCGATGGGCACACGCAAAGGCATGATGCCCGTGTACATACATGTGAGGAGCATGACATGGCCCACACGAACAACTGAGGCTCACACGTAGGCGCACAGGGCTTGAGCCCACAACACCAATGGGTTAGTGAAACGTTGACCAAAGGTGTCTATGAACCCCATAGGTAATGTGTAGACTAGCATGATATAGCACAACATTGTCACAACACCCTGCATGCGTACATGGCTTAGACGGATGAGTATGTCAGCATAATATACGGTTTAGAATAGTATATCATTAACCACAGATGTTACCAGCACGCAATGGCACAAAGACACCATCGTAGCAGCATGATGATGGCATGACAGGATATGGCGTTGTCACAACATTGCGTTTCTAGAGTGCATTAGACCTGTGCACTTGGGCAGCTAGGCTGTCACAATCTTATATTCATCCAAGGTTATTATAGGAGTAGTTGTGATGGTTAAGCACCTTGTTGATTAGGGTTACTACACCAACCATCATTACATCATATTTGACCAAAAGTTATTTTGATAGTAGTTATAAATTACTCCATGATGTAAGGGCGTTTGATTAGATAAGAAGATTATTATATAAGATACCTCATAAGAAGTACTTAACCTGACTCAATTGTTGTATAATAAATCACATAACTTTAAAATTTATAAAATTACAAATGATCATTTTTTATATTTTTATAGATATTTTAACATAAATAAATTAATTCTAATTTGATAAATATTTAAAAAATAATGGTAAAATTTAAGTCAATCATAAGGATGCAAGATAATATTAGGTAAATTTGTAGATTTGTTTTCAAAGAATATAATTTGTTATGATTTTTGAACTAAATAATAAAGATCAAATATGTTTAAAATTTATAAAAAAAGTGAATTCAAGTGCAAATGTCAAGATGATGTCAGCACCTTGACAAACTTAATTAAATTTGAGATAAGAGTTACTCTCGATGATTCTTACATAAATGATTAGATATTATTTAATTAATCAAATTAAAATTTATAAAAATTAGAAGAATCATAATTGACGAAAAAAGATTTTTGAAATTTAAAACCATAAAAAATAGTACTAGTTTAAGTCAAAAATAAGTTTTAAATAAGAAAGACATAGTTTCAACGTTGTGACAGCAATCTCTAGAATTTTGAGTATTCAAAAGAATTAACGTGTGATGTCCATAACTCAAAGGATCTCTTTAAATATAGATGGCATAAGTAATCTTTAAATCTTTTTGTGAAGTTCAGAAATCAGTAAAATGGGTTGACAAATCATCTTTGTCAATTGTCACTTGGTGGAGTGAAAATTTAGTGTCTTTTAGATCTCCAATGATTGTTACCTTTTATAGATAAGTTAGATAAAGTGAAGCACATATTAAGGAGCTTCTTCCTCAAGTCTATGTAGCAAGAAGAGGCTTGTATTATATTTGATTTCATTTTGAGAAGGCAGTGACTCATCTCTTAGTAGATCATCATCTTCTCAATAATGGTTTATTCGTCGATCAATCAGAGATAATTTCCTTGAATAATTTGTAATTTTGATATTTTGTCAATGATGATTTGTAAATAATGTTGATTAATTTTCAATGATGATCGAGCGATTTTGGCAACAAAATCATTAATCTACGTTATGTAGAAAAATTATGATTTAATCAGATAAAAAGATAATATTTGGCTCTAGTGGGATTCAAACTTTTGTTGATCTCTTGACTATATGAGAGAGAGAGAGTACAAATTACTCACATACCCTTGACCCACTAACATGAGTGAGTCATTTCCTTCTCATAAGTCATGGGTAATTTCAATATCAAAATATTAAACCCTATTGATGAATGTTGGCGTGGGTTTAATACGACATCAGTTGTTTCTAGATGTTTGAGGCATATATCAATAACTCATTTTCTCATCACATTCTCACATGCCACATGTGTATGACCACTTTTTGCCTCATGCTTGATTACACACTAGTAACATGGAAGGGGAGTGACACATATATTTGAACTGGTCCTTAGTCACTTTAGCCCTCAACTTGTGATTCACACGATTATACTTTTAATCCGCATGTGGGCCCGACTAGCTAGTAGATCCTTTAATTTTTTACATTTTGAATTTTAATTTAGTTTTTTTATATTTTATCTTAAAAATATGAGTATAAATATTATATATATATTTATATAAAATCATATAATTATTTAAAATTTTATATTAATTAATTGAAAATTATTTTCTTAATTTAACATAAACATAAGTCTATTTATTATGAGTTAAGGCTTAAAATATATTACTAATTAATTATTAACTTATGATAATGAAGACTTATCAATAATAAAGACCTTTATACAAGCCATAGAAAAACATATAAAGATGCACATATAATTACAAGTGAGGCATTGAAAATACAACATAAGTGAGTCCTCAATAGTAGACATGCCACTAGCAAGTTGTATGACACAAAGGTCATAAAGTCAAGGATTCAAAGGTCTTGTGCACCTTTGAATGCCTTCATCTATAGGACCTTATGATGAGTTAGGTCACTCTTCAATGATGCAGTAAGTGCCTTTGCAATGTTATTTCTATATGTAATGAGGTCTTTCAATTCTTTAAATTGCTCATCTACACTTGTAACTGTTTCTCAAAAGCCACTAGTGTAGATGAGTGCCGCACTAATTACTAATCCTCAACTTGGAGACAACTCTCCATTAACTCAGTGTAAGTGGTTAGCAAAGCAATCTATTCCTCCAAACTAGTGATCATTTGTCCATCTTCACCATCCCTAACTTGTCTGGATACAAGTTCTTGTGGAAATATGACTAAGATTATCTAGTCTTACTCTCTCATGCTAACCTTGTTTGTTGCTCAAGCAGCTTAGCCACTTTGTAGAAACACTATGACTCAGTGGGTGCGACATTATGGAAAGAACATATCAAATTTTAGAACTCTTCATTGGTGTATAATAAATTTTACTTTTATATATTATTTATTTCCACCATAATGTCTTTTTATAGAAGAATATCTTTACATCATGGACCAATCATAAGTACTATTGTAGCATTTTTGAGGAAGAACAAAATTTGGTCTTTAATCTACCAAGTACAAATTTTAATGAAAAAACCATGATTTGAATCCAAATAATGGGTAACATCAACCGTTGAACCCACAAGAGTTGTCTGGGCCAACATTAAATCTATAAGTTCAAAGGGGTTATGTTGAATTCACAAAGTACACTTTATTACACAAGTAGAAAAGTGATATCTTAAAAAGAGACAAAACTCATAATATTTTAAAGATAACTTTGGGCTATAGTGTGGATACCCTTAAAATACTAACAAAGATGATGTGAGATATCCCTAAAAGTGAATTAGACCATGAAACAAATAAAAACAAACTCTACCAACAAACTGAATGATTATTTGAACATAAGTTGTGTTTTTAGCCAACCCTTAGACCTTCAGAATAATTGATCCACTCTTTACTTGTAGACGATTTCCTCCACTAACTACCCTCATAATAATCATTTGATTATAAGGTAATGATGGTTGGACAATCTAACAAATCATAATCACCATAACTACTACTATTACAGCCTTAGATGGTTATGAAATAATGTAGGGTGATACGTGGAGTCCAATTGCTCACTCATCATGTAAGTTTCCTTTGCTTCTCACATGTCACAATGTGTTAGTATTATCTTAGGTTGTGCCATTGTCATGCTATATATACTATACATATTTTATTCATGTCAGTGCTAATAGCCTATGAGGTTCATAGGATGTCTCCTAACTTCCTTTTGTTGGCATAGTTTATAATTAGAGATGTGCACACATATTCTCAGGCCTCATATACATTACATTTGTTTCATTATGCTGATGTCATGTTGTACTATGCTAATGTGCACTATTTGTGCATGCTTCGTTTTGTGGGATTCACATACATCCTTTGTTGAACCTCATTTTTACTTATGACATCTGCTTAGCAGTGTCATACACTTTGTACACAAGTACATGCACATTATTTTTCAAGCCGCAAGGATGTTAGGGTTCGTCATGGGCAATTGACATTCAAGTAGCTCAAACGAGAGTGCACCTTGATTAACTAAGGTTATTGTGGAAATATTGTTCGCATGGGATGCAACCGTGATATCATATTTGATTTATCAATTTTAAAAATAATTTGAAAATTTCGGCGATATCATATTCTGAAATTTGTTGCGGAAAATTTTAATTATCAATATTTGATCGCCCAGAAGTAAGATATTTTTAGGTGTCTCCCCTCGAATCGGGATTGGGTTTATGGGTCCCATGTTGGGACACGCTGCTGCGTGCAAAACGATAAGAGAGCAGACGGCAAAGGTGCTGGTTTTCACAGCGAAACGCGCTCATCCGCTTCCGATATTGTTGGGGGCGTCGGGTTGTCGCAGGAGCTTCCGGGGAACAGAGAAATCAAAAGCCCTAGGGCATGGCAGCGAGTTCGGCAGCTGCGGCTGCAACTTCCTGCAGCATCTCTCGTCCGGTGTTCTTCGAGCCCTTCAAGCTGTCTGCCGACAGCTCGTTGCTCTGCCCGGCGCTCGGTGGCCTCAGGACAAGCCACCGGCGGCTCTTCACGCTACCCCGCCGTCGGATACTTCCGGTGGTAATTTCCTGCCTTGCTTCTAATTCCATTCCGGCGAATCTCGGCATCCTTTTTCTTACGTACAGTTCGCTCTGTTTGAACTCCTTTGTCGCACCGGTCGCTTCTATCTTCCTGCAAGCCGAGGATCCGCGCATTTCAATTAATGAATCGATTAAAACGACGGAGCAGAGAGAGGGAGGGGGGCATCTTAGTCGCCCAAATCGAACGAAGAAAACACATAAGAAAGGGTGGGCAGATCCTTCCATCTGCCCTGTAGTGGTGTGAATTCGGCTGCCCTAGGCCTGCATTACACGGGTGACCTTCGGTGAACTGATTCTCTCCAGCTCTTACCCCTCTTCCCAGATGACGCAATGCAGCAATGCAATTTCTCTCTCTCTCTCTCGCTCGCTCTTGCTAATTTTCTGCAGAGCGGGTTGCCAAATGATGGAAGGATGCCGTGTGTTATTGATCCCAGGTCCCCTACATCCAATTCATGTTTCTCCTCCCTGGGTCACAAAAGATAAGCTTCCTGTCTCTGCTTGCAGAAGGCAGTCTTCAACCGGAACCAATCTGAGCTCAACTCTAGCTTACCACATTCGTTACCTTTTCCTGGCTCTGTAGTCATCTCTCTCTGTCGATCTAGGGTTCTTGAAGCAATCATAATGAAATCAAAACATTTGTAGCCCTGTGCTATAGGACCATGTAGAGGACTAGTTGCACCGCCACTTACGGGGTGATTAGAATCTTTTGCGGCCATCGCGAGGAATCAAATAGAGAACATACCCAGTGATTTTCCTCTGTATCTACGATCTGTGTGAACACAAACGAGTCGGTAGAAATTCTTTATCATCCAAAAAGGAATTTTTTTGTGGAAAAATATGTCTTAAGTTTCAATATTGTGAAAAGCAGTGAGCCATAAGCTTTCATGCTTGGTCTGGAACATTTAATAAAATAGCTAAAAAAAATTCTGATTTTAGTCATGGTATTTGCGGAAAACATTTTATGGAGCGGGACCCACAAAAAAAGCAGATCTACCATCATAATATTCCGACGGATTCAACTCCGAAATCGGTTCATATTTGTCCAAAACGTGTATTTCTTCTCAAGGCTTTCCTTTTCTCTGCTCTGTATGGACTGCAGGCACACATTCAATGCGGATGTGGACATCTACCTATGTACTGCTTTGAGCTACTCTTTCAGCTATTTCGGATAACTTCTCATCAATGTCTCTGGCTCCCCAACTCCGCAGGTTAAAGCGAAGAAGGAGACATTTCCTTCATTTGACGACTTGGTGGAAAACTCTGATAAGCCAGTGTTGGTTGACTTTTATGCAACTTGGTGAGTCGTTGACTCTGATTGCAAATTATGGTCTTAACAGAAGGAGGGGGCTAATGCCGGCACTAAGTTGCCTATTCTAATTGTAAAATTATTCATACGTTTATGGGCATTAATCAGGAACACGCACTCACATGATTCAAACCTCCGAGGTTCAATTTAATAGGAAGATTATGAGTTGTAAGCTGCTGTTTTGAAGTATGTTTAACTATCTATTGCTGGTTAGCTCTTTGCTTAATCCTGTTGTAGGTGCGGCCCATGCCAGTTCATGGTGCCTATTCTTGACGAAGTGAGTACTGAGCTGAAAGATAAACTAGTAGTTGTGAAGGTGGACACTGAGAAGTATCCGGACATTGCCAATCGTTACGGCGTGGAAGCACTGCCCACATTTATCATCTTCAGAGATGGGAAGCCCTGTGATCGCTTTGTAAGTAAAAACGATGGTAAAAAAAGTTGTCTAATATATTTCTTTTTACCCTCTACCTGAGGGTATTGACTATCTGGGTAAGCTCGGAGCACCAATGGCTGTCTTTTCTCGACTCTCTCTCTCTCTCTCTCTCCCTCTCTCTCCCTCTCTCTCTCCCTCTGGGATGGATTTGAGCAACACCGTGTCTGACTTAGAGCCTATTTTTTCTACCTCCCTACTTCTGCCGCTAAAGGCCTACTTGTTTTTTCTCCTGTTTTTCACGCTTCGTCTTGTATTGTTCTACTGTTGACATAAATTCTCAAATCTCAGGAAGGAGCACTGCCTGCGAACCAGTTGATCAGACGCATTGAAGATGCCTTGAAGGTTGCTCAATAGTCCCGAGCGGAGCTCCCTTTGGAGGTGTATATTGTCACCCTCTAAATCTGTTTATCAGCGTAGATCCCACCATCTATATCGAGGTACAATATGAGCCATATTATCACAGAAAACCTGGTGGTCAATCAACATCCCATGTGTCATCGTCGTTCACTTATTGAGAATATCCTTAATGAGTCAGATGACGGTAAGTTCTAATAAAGTATTTTTTGTTGTTACTACATGTACCAAGTAAGCTCACCTTGGTCTAATATGTTTCCCTATGTCGAACTGTGAAATTGGCTCTAGAAGCTGGATACCCACTGCCCAAATTCCTCTCTCTCTCCCTCTCTCTCTCTCTCTCTCTCTCTCTCTCTCTCTCTCTCTCTGCGCTCGGTCGCTCTCGCGCTAATATAGAGTTTTGGAGGGCCAAGTTCGGAGCTCATCGTGGTCAGGACTGATGACGGCGGCGGGGCTTTCGATCAAAGCAAAAAATTATTCCACTGCAGCTATGAAAGACTTATTTTTCTTTGACTACGTTCGATTCGATAATGTTTGGCGACGAGCCGCCTCAGTCCGCCAGTCGAGACCTGCCTATCGCTTCTGTTGGCGTTTGAGATCGCTCTGGCTCACGAACACCCCGTGAAAGCCATACGGCACGCGCCGCGGAAGCTCTACTTCCGCGATCACCTCCAGCTCCGGCGACTTGGCGTCCATCACCACAAACTTCGACTTCTCCTCGTTCTCGTCCTGGACGAACGTCAGCAGGTACCCGTCGTCCTCGTCAAGGTCTTTCCCCTCCCCCCTGGGGACGAAGAACGACTCCCCGCAGAAACAACCTGGTCCGAACTCCCTCCTGACCACCACGCAGTCCCTCCGCTGCGCCGCCACCTCCAAGTCGAGCTTCGCCACGCCCTGGATCTTCGGTGGGAAGTCGGAGATGGCCGCATAGGCGTAGCGACTCTTCCTTCCCTGGTAGGCCGGATTGACCCCGCCGAAGCCGAGGCTCATCACGGAGAGCAGCGTCCGGGTGACGATCCTCGTCTTGAGGTCAATCCGCACCATCTCTATGTGGCCGTGACCAAGCTCCATCCTCTCCACAAAGTGCTGTAGGTTGACGGAGCTGGAACCCACCAGCACTACCACTCCACCGTCGTCGCCCTCCTCCCATGCGTTACATATGTGCAGCGGGTTGAACCCAGGAACGTCGAACCACGTGATTTCCGATCCCGACGCGGCGTATCGGGACAACACTCCCACCCTGGAGGTCTTCCTTGTGTCGCAACGGATGAAGGAGCCATCACAAAAGGCCATGCCCAGTGGGTCCATCACCAGTTGCGTCTCCGGGAAGATGGCGTAGTGTTTTGTGACGGCGAAGTCGTGGAAGATGGACGGTTGCAGGACGGAGGCGATGGGCACCTCCAACTTCTCGTTCCCGCTACTGTCGAAGCAGTAGTAGGTAAGAAAAGGGGGGACGAGGCTGTAGTTTACGGCGAAGAGCTCGCCTGTGACCGGGTCCTGCTTATGGTGGACCGACCCGCCTTTCACCAGCTTCCCGCCGAGGTCCCTCCGCTCTGTCGACAGTAGGTCGCCGTCCTCGGGCGACAGGTAGACGGTAAAGGGTTGGTCGGTCTCGCCGAGCACGAAGATATTGTTCCAGAAGAAGGAGACGCTAGTGTTGGCCGGACCCATTCCCTCCGTGCGGTTCATCCGCTCGGCGAGAAACCGCAACATGCCTAGAACAAGCCTAGCGATGCCGTGGACACCCCGGAGACTGAAACTACGACTGACCACCGGGCTGCTGGTTCTGGAGTAGCGGCTGCAGAGAACCGCGTGGGAGGCGTCGGCGCCGCCTCCAGGAAGGAGGAGAGAGTGGAGCATCCCGTCGCCGTCGAAGAGATGGTACGGACCGCGGGGATGCTGCCGCGGATTGGGGCCATTTCGGATGTAGGCGCCGCCGCGGAGGCACTCGGGGATGCTCCCCCTGACAATGGGACACGGGGTGGGCGGCAGCTCGTCCACGGGGGCGAAGTTTCCGACTAGAAGCAGCGCGGGGTCGACCGACGGGTGGAGTGGGTACCGAGTGAAGTGCCTGTCAACGGCGTCGTCCAAGATATCGCAAAAGGTCTGGCTCCACCTCTGTCCTTTCGTCTTCTTGGTGCTAACTAAGTCGGAAGGTGCAGGAGCTGCATTGGATTCACCGGTGAACGAGGAGAGAGAAGAGCATAGGATTCGGCGGAACTTCCTCGGCGGCGACGCAGGGCTCCCGCGGCGGTGAAAACGAGGAGGGAAAACTAAGGTCTGGGCTGAAAAGCAGCTCGTCATGATCGAGAAATGGGGTAGTTCTCGATAACTCGAGATCTTGCTATTAAATAGGTGCCTGTCTTTGAACAATGGAAACTCGACGATTTGACTTTGACAGAATTCCACTTTTAGCTGCCGAAGACTTTTCAATCGCCCAACCGGGATAGGGCGCGTAGCGAGACCCGGCGGCGGAAGAAGAGAGATGGTGTCAATGACTGTTTTCGCTGCAATTCCTGAGAAGGTTTGACCATATATGTGAGGAATAGTCAAAGTGGACCCCTGCTCTTGGAAACGGACTACCATTAGCACTAATTGCGGTAGCTGGGCCGGTCTCGAGATGGCCTTGGGACACCGTAAAAGAGGAACCCTCTTACTTGTAAAATAGTAGTAAAGAAAAAGAGGGATATGTGGATAGCAGAGGGCGGCTGTAGCTGTTATCGAGAAAGACTGCCACCTGTACTGTTGGCCGAGGGACACCGCCGCTCTACTAGTGGAGGAGCACTGTCGTATGTTTTTCCTGTTAAAAGGTTATACTTACCGGTGGGGACCAGAGCCGCCCAAACCGTTGATCACCTTGACTTCGGATGGGGAGAATCTCTGAAAAGCCTGGTAACCCTAGAACAAGACAGACTGGTATTTTCTGAGAGATGAAGTGTCTAATTCCGTGAAGGAGAGTCGCAAAGTCGTGCATCTCCGCTCCGCGAACCAGCTCGTCACTGGAGTACGCTGTGGGTCAGCGGAGTCAACAGCGACGAAAGCCCTCTGCTACCCGGTCGCCCAACCAGGCGACAGGGTAATCTCTGTTTCTCCTTACTCCTGATTGAGCAATTGCTGTTTGAAGTAGTAGGGACGTGGAATAAATAGGCGCCAAGTCAGACCCTGCTCAGATGTCCTGAACAGGGTCCTTGTCCGGCGAGAAGCTCGAAGATAAGCTCTAGGTCGGACCCCAGAGAGAGAGAGAGAGAGAGAGAGGATGCCGCATGGATGCCGGTAGAAAATGGGCTTCGGGATTCAAAATCAATTCACCAAGAAGCCGGACACAGCTTGGATAGAGATTGAGCCAGGATGGCTCCCTCATCCTTAGTCTAGAAAAGGCAACCAATGGTGCACCGAGCTTACCCAGCTAGATAGTCAATTGATCTTCCCAGATACTTACTACAATCACTGCTTTCTCTACTTCCACTCAATCCAATTATTTTCCTGATCACTGTTCAACTTTACGATGGCACTTCGTCTGGGTGATTGAATACAAACCTGGAATTGTACGTTCTTGCCAAGGGAAAATCAAGAGAACGTGAACAGAAGGCTGTTTATGAGGGGAGAAGTCAAGAATCTGCTGTAACGTCGATCGACTCTCCCCTTCCCCTGCCTTTATAGTTCCATGGAGTCACCTCCAACACGCCCACGCAAACCCTCGCCTCACAGCCTTCGCCATTACCTCTTCTCTTCTGATCTCCATGGCGTCTTGTTCTAGCCACTCTCTCTCTTTCCTAATAGCCTGCTCCACCCTGTTCGCCGCCGCTGCCGTAAATGCTGCCAGGCCGTCCCCGCAATATCGGGGGCCTGGCATGGCTGCTGTTCGCTTACAGGCTGATGATATGGCAGAATGCTGGAACTCCCTGCTAGAACTGCGGGCGTGCACCGGCGAGGTCATCCTCTTCTTCCTCAACGGCGATACCAACCTGGGACCGGGCTGCTGCAACTCCGTACGCATCATCGAGCACTGTTGCTCGCTGTCCATGCTCACCTCCCTTGGTTCTGTTGGAGTTAATCTCGCCACCGTGATCATCGCAATCCACCGAGGAGGAAGGTGTCCGACGGAAGTCCCGCCTGATCTTACGTCTTATTTTGAATTCCCTTGTATTTCGCTCTCTATCTTCTTCCTTTGAATGTTTCAATTACAGCCGTCCATTATGGAGTTTTAACGGCTGTGATTGCGCCTGAATGGTAGCGCTCGCAGTAACTGCCTTACGGCGTTACTGTACAATGTGTTCGACCTGGTCCTACAAGAGAACCAGTTCGACGACTGATTGGCGATGCCAATTGATTTCTCCCATTTTCAGTTTAATAGATTTGGGCATTTTTTAGTTCTCCATTCTTCTTGGGTTCTTTTGTTACGAAGAATCGTAAGGTTAGATTCTTCAGGTTCCACAGCCGATGAGGGGGACACAGTGACAAGCTACTGCGTTGCCCTGGACAGCACCCTCCCCTTGCCACCGGCCGCACCATCTCCGGTCTTACTCGCTCCCACGCCATGATCGTTTTCACCAGTCCCCTTCGAGGCGATCGTTGTGATCTTGGTCCACGGCGACCCTTTATCCGCTTCTTCTTGGTTTTCTGATATGGTCCCAGCCTTACAAGAGCGTTAGATGGAAGGGGAAAAGGGTATGACGTGCAAAATAAGGAGAAGAGAGGGAAAAGGAAGACATGGACTGGTCCGAAATGTTCCAGAGGAGAGAGGATGCAGGCAGATGCGCACTTGCGAGAGAAGAGGAGAGGTCAAACAATTGAGAGAGGAGAGGGAGGGGGGGTCAGGAAGAGGGCGAAGCATCACTCGAAGTACCTTGATTCATTGATGCCCTTCTCGTGCCTCACCCTTTGGCCTTTATGCGAGGGTTGGCCAGAGTGCGCTGAGTGACTATCTTCTTAGGCCTTAGACCACAAATATGTGGTTCTCTATCAATACTCCCCCCTTCGACAGCCAGCTTGTCCTCAAGCTAAAATTCTAGGAATTGTACCCTGAACTTTGTTGTTGATTCCCATTTAGCTCCAAACTCGAGCATGCCCCTTCGTTTGACGAGGACAAGCCTACTAGATGATGATTCTTTGAAGGCAAGTACGTGCTCTAGCTCGAGGAGTCACTCCCTCTCCTCCATGAGGGTGCTTGGGAGTGGTTGAGGCGATGCACCTGCCCTCATAGCTCACCGCAGCTGTGATATATGAAAAACAAGGTGGATGGCAGCATGTTATGGTAGCTCGAGTTTGTATGCCACAAGTCCCATCTTTTGAAAGACTATATAAGGTCCAAAACATTGGGGCCCCAATTTCTCATTCGCACATCGCATTAAGGTCCACATCTGGTAGGGTCTAAATTTGGTGTAGATGGCCTCACTGACCTAGAACTGCACATCTCTGGTGCTTGTCAGCTTAAAGCTTTATATAAGATTGCATTCGTGCCAAATGGTGCTTAATAGGAGAAAAGATCTTATCACTTTCCAACAACATCTTGTCCACCTTGTCACATGGTGATGGCGGAGATCCGTAACTGATGATGGATGGAGGATCCCCCCATCATAGATCGCCCGAAATAGAGACATCCCTATGGATGTGTGGTGGGTGGTGTTGTAACTTAAATTCGTCCAACACAACTATGCACCCTTTGGGTTTATCACTTGGAAAACAGTGCAAATATCTTTCAATCTATGATTGACTATCTCAATTTGGCTGTTCATCTCTAGGTGGTAAGCGGAACTCATCTTCAAAGAAGTCCCTTGTAATTAGTGGAGCTCCATCTAGAAAGAGCTAGTGAAGATGTTGCCCTTATTTGATACAATAGAGAGGGGAAAACTATTTAGGCGCACGACTTCCTTGGCAAAATTGGTCACCACATTGTTGGCTGAGAATAGATGCTTTAAGGGTATGTAGTAACTGCATTTGTTAAGATGGTCAATGATCACCATAATCATGTCAAATCCCTTAAACTTGGGTAATCCTTCCACAAAGTCAATGTAGATGTCTTCCCATATCTAGCTTTAGATTAGTAATGGCTGTAACAATCCTACTGGGGCGAGTGTGGAGGACTTAGATCGGAGGTAAATAGAACATTGGTTGATGTGGGCCTTCACATCCGTCTTCATTTCATGCCAGAAAAATGATTAAATCAATAGTAGGTATGTCTTCAAGAATCCAGTGCGGCCTCCCATCGACTTGTCATGAAATTTCACTAGCAACTTTAGGATGTGAACCAATGACCTCGATAATGCCAACCTGTCCTTATTCAATAAGGTGTCATTCATAAATGTGGTGTGAGTTGGTCAAGGTACCTTCCTATATTGTTTGGATGATGTTGGTGAGATATAAGTCATTGAGCGCTTCTTGCTTTGTCATGTTAGTCCAACTATTTTACAGTGGAAACTAAAAACATCTTGTGATGCTCCAAGTTGAGGCATCTAGATAGAACATCCACCACCTTGTTGTGATGGCCCTCCTCATATTGGATAATGAACGAGCATCTCATGACCTTGAACACTTGTGATATTGACCATGCACCTCTCACTTCAGACAAATACTTGAGGCTATATTAGTCTGTGAGGATGATAAATTTGTGGAACATTAAGTGATGCTTCCACTTTTAGATGACAAAGGCAATAGCCATCAGCTCTCTTTCATAAGTTGACTAGACATATGCTGAAGGAGGTAAGGCCTAATTGAAATAGGCCACCGGTCACTCTTTTTGCATCATAACTACTCCCATGCTCAAACCTTGAGACATTAGTTTCCAGTGTAAAAGGTTGTGAGAAGTTAGGCAAAATCAATACCACTGTGGTGACCATGGTGTGCTTGAGGTCCTAAAATGCCCTTTGTGTAGATTCAGACCAATCAAAAGCGTCCTTCAAGAGGAGGGTGAGTGGCCAAGAGAGTTTGACATAGCCCTCCACAAATCATTGGAGATAGCCTATTAAGCCAATCAATCTTCATAGTTGTTGAAGGTTCTGTGGGATCGGCCACTTCTAGATATCCCTAATCTTCCCCTTGTCTGTGGCCACTCCTTCAACTGAGATCTAGTGACCTGAGTATTCTAATTGGCGCTAAAAAAAGAACATTTTCTGATGTTCACCATTAATTGATGTTCCTCAGGCAGCCAAAATATCATATGTAGTTGTTCTTTATGCTCTTGTCTGAATTTACTGAAAACTAATATGTCATCAAAGAACACCAAAATTATGGGCTTCAAATGTGGTTGAAAAATCAAATCATAAGGGATTAGAATGAATCTAGGGTGTTGGAGATCCCGAAGGGCATCACCAAGCACTCATAATAGTCCTGATGGGTACAAAATGTCATCTTCAGGATATCTTTCCTCTACATCTGGATCTTGTGATAACTTGATTTGAGGTCAAGTTTTAAAAACATCCATGTGTGCTTCATGGAGTTCTTCTAGGAGTTTGTTGACCACCAAAATAGGAAACCTATTTGATACAGTGAGCTTGTTTAAAACTCTATAGTTGATACAGAAACACAATGAGTTGTCTTTTTTAACCAAGAGGACAAGACTAGAATAGGGGTTGTTAAACAACTGGATGATGCCTACTTTAAGTTGTTCTGATATTAGCTTCTCCAACTCATTCTTTTGAAAGGGAGAGTATCAATATAGTTGTTGATCTACTGGTGCCGAGCCAAGGAATAATGTAATCGTATGGTCAATTGACCAAATTGGAGGCAAAGTATATATTCTTGTAAATACAGTCGGGAATGGTGATGTAAGGACTGAAGAGACATGTCATATAACTCCACTTCTAGTGCTGCACCCGATAGTGTCGAGGAATAGTGAAGCTTTAGCGCCTGTTGGTCCCCCATTTACTTTTGTCTTATTGTCATGTCGTATATCTTGGACACACGTCTCGTGTTCAAGTCTCCTCAGAGTATATGTGGTACCCCATCCACATAGAACCACATCATGAGAAGCTTGTAGTTCGAGTCCACCCATCTCAGGGTGCACAGGCCACTGAGTGCTCAAGATAATTTTGATGCCAATATGGTCAAGAGGTAGGAATTCTTGGACAACAGTATAGCCCTAAATAAGCATATGAAGTTGTTGGTGGCTCCTCCATCAGTGTTATATATGTTACCCTGCATTTGTAAAGTCCCGCTGGCGGACACACCCAAGGCGGACTGTAAAGAGACCCAGACCATGGAAAGAGTGGCGGCTATCTCTTGGTCACCGGCGGCCTGTCGTCTTCGGACGTCTCGTCGTCCTCCTCGCCATCCTGCACAATGTAGATGTGGAGCTCCTTCGTGCAGCGATTTCCGGGTGTGAACTTTCTGTTACACCGGAAACATAGCCCCTGTGCCTTGTGGGCCTAAAACTCTGTCTCAGTCAATCCCAGTGAATGCCTCGAGCCCTCACGTAACCGGTGTGGCTCCCCATCCCGCCGATGCTGACTTGCTAAAGACACATCCTCGCCCGTGTTGTCCATATGCGGGGTGTGTGTGTATCACTGTCTCTCTGATCGGGAAGAGCTCTCCCACTCTTGCTTTAGGCCTCTCGCCAGAGGTGCAAAATAGATTTCTGCTGCGAAGGCGAAATCTTGGACGTCATGCAAACATCGTGGTTTGGAGCGCTTCACCTCAGCCTGAATCTCGAGCTTGAGAGCTCCCAGAAATGTCTGCATCAGGACGTCCTGATGGAGATGTGGGATGAATCCTGCCACGTGTTCGATCTCCGTGACCAGCTCCTCAACAGAGCTGATTTGCTTCACTTGTAGTAGCCGCTGGTGGGCGTCGTCTTGGGTATAACCAAAGCGACGGGCTAGTTGGCACTTGGAATCCTGCCAGTCCCGGAAACCAAACTGTTTGTCACAGTAACTGAACCAAGAAAGGGACTTACCGTCCAAATAGGTCATGACGATCTAGAGGCGCTCGTCATCGTCCGGCAGGTTGAGCTGGAAGGACTGCTCCACCCTGAGGAGCCACCCTCAGGGTTTCCCCCCGTGAGGACGGAGATTTCTCCCTTTTTCTGCAGCCTCAATGGGGGACGTGGTGGGACCCGAGGCGCCCGTGGTCGGTCCCAAGCGGGGTCTCGATAGCTGCGCCGGTCATCGAACTCGTCCCCAAAGAGGTCTTCCTCCGGTCCGTCTTCGTCGTTGGGCCACTGATGGGTGTCCCGTTGGTCCTCGCATCCGAGGTGGACGCGTTTCAGTGGTACGGTCCCGTCAGTGGGTGTGGGCGTAAGAAGGTACCTCCTCATACGATCGAGGGTCTATTCCGTCTGCTCGTGGCTACGCCGAAGTAGGGTCCATGATGATCCTGGTTCGCGTCGGCCCGGTATTCGGGGCCTGAAAAGGGATCCGCGGCAACTTCGGAATGGTCCGGGCCGACAAGGGTGGACCCACCCGAACCGGAACTGGAGTAAGCCCGCCGGGCCGTTCCCCCGAGACGTGTGCCTCCCAGGGGTCAGGGAATGGTACCCTTGTGGCGGCGATCGATTAACACCCCCGCGGCCTTGGCTGCGGCTGTGTCGGTCGTGTTGCCCTGGAAG